AATACACACTAAAGGCAACAAGTTTATATACCAATTTGTCATTTATAGTACATTTATACTAAACCATAAATAACAATACCTCAATATAAATTAAAGACTGCCACTCAATATATTTAAATACATGAAAAAATCAAAAAAATCAAAAAAATAAAAAAATCATGATTTTTTTATAAATAAATCAAGTGATTTAATCACATGATTTAATCATTTTGATTTAATCATTGCCAACCCTGATCTACACCCCAAAAAACAATTAAAAAAACACCCTTTTTTTGGATGCACTTAATCTAAAGTAATACCCTGATTTCAAGTACAAGTAGTAAATAAATTAATAGATGATCAAGTTGAGTGACGGTTTTAGACACAAACAAACTAATTTTGACACAGCTTGGAATTAGACACACACAGCTCGTTCCGAGCTGTGTCCAAATATTCGAATTTTCTTAATTAAAAGCTTAATAGCTCTTAATTAAAAACTCAATTTAAAAATTAAAATTTTTTAATTAAGCTTGTTCCAAGCTGTGTCATATTCTGATACAGCTCAAACAGGGCATCGGAATTCCAACACAGGGTGCCAGAATTACAAATTAGGTAATAAGAGTTTGAAGCGCTGCCAGATTTAGTCTCACAATATGCCAAATTTAGTCACACACAGCGTCAGAATTCAGGGATTTTGTAGTTTTGAATTCTAAAGGCTTTTAAATAAATATGGCAACAGTTTGTAACGTTTCATTGTTGCTGGTGCATAGTGTGGTGTTTTGACTTTTGAGAGTGACGTAAATCAATCAGAACTCGAGTTGCGCATACAGTGATATTTTTATAGCCGTTCATTTCTTGCTACATACTTAATGTGTCAGAATATACCATGTTTACCCTAGCACATGCACAGAGACTTTTTAAATAAGTTTGCAGCTCATACATGGCTCTTTATGGCCAAGATATGGAATTTGTGGCTCAAAGAAATGGAATCACAACTGGCAAATCCATAAAACCACAGCTCAAAAAAATCCAGTTGTGGCTCACCAAGTAGATAGTCATGCCTGAGTCAAGTCAAACCATGCCCAAATCCAAAAAACAGGCTTCTAGAGTTGCTAGCCTGCTAGGTATGGTCTTTACAAACTGAATGGTATGTCTTTCAATGCTGGAGCTTGAATACAGTAGGAGTGGTAAGTGGTAACACTTTTAAAGTGAAAAAAAATTAAAATTCAAACTTATCAGGAAACCTGAGAAACAAATTAATTTTAATTATAGACCAATTGTTATTCAACCAATTGTTGAGCACTAATATCAACCTTATCAACAAAATAATGCATGCATAGACATGTCAGTGTCAACATTAGAAGCTCCAGATTTGAAACATTAAATTCCTAACAAAAACCAAAGAAGTCACAAATTTATATTTTTCACCAAGCCAGTCCCCTTAAGTAGGCTACCTAGCCTATATATAATCATGCATGTCCTAAAGTGGATGTATTCCATCATCCATGTGGAAAAGCCTATGAAAAACAGACATATAAATCTAAAAGTAAAATACACTAGGTACCGTAAAATGGGGTAACTTTGACCACTTTTTTTTCAAAATGATGCCATTTTTCAACTAGATAAGTTAAACTTAAATTGAAACATGCAAAATACAGGTCTATACTCTATACTCCAGCTTCACTCACCATAAATTGCTGGCTCCTGCCTCTCATAGTTTTGATGTAACTTCAAAAAAAAGTGATGGTCTTTGTTACCCCAGCTCTTGGGGTTTCTTTGACCGGGTGGTAAAATCAATTTTATTTTTTGGTAAAATAACTCCAAATAACTCCAGGTTGTGGTGCATTGTAGTAGAACTCTTCTAGTTACATATGCAAAAGGCAAATTTTAGGAAAGTGTCATAGTTTGCAAATGGGGGCGCCGCCCCACAATGGGCAAAATGTGACCACCTAATGGCAGCCATGACGGGGTAACATTGATCAGTTTGGAAATTAAGTTAAAATTACCATATATAAGACTCTGTAGAGTCAAACATAAAGAAAAAAACATTAATAGGTGTATCAAACATATAATATGTTATATAGGTACCTATGGTAATTTTAACTTAATTTCCAAGCCGGTCAATGTTACCCCATCACAGCTGCCATTAGGTGGTCAAAGTTACCCCACTGTGGGGCGGCGCCCCCCATTTGCAAACTATGACACTTTCCTAAAATTTGACTTTTGCATATGTAACTAGAAGAGTTCTACTACAATGCATCAAAACCTGGAATTATTTTACCAAAAAATAAAAAAATTGGAGGGGGTACTCTGACAGGCTTTGAATAATAGCTCTTTTTTGTGGGTCACATTATTAATTTTCTAACCTATTAGATATGCAAACTTTTTAAATCTTTCTATTGTGTTATGTAGCCTCAGTATTAGGCCTTTGATGGCCATTGACAAAATTTTTCTATGTCAAGTCGTTTTCGAGTTTTGGGGTTTTTTGTTAAAAAAACGAAAAGTGGTCAAAGTTACCCCGCCGGTCAAAGAAACCACATTTTTATGATTGTATGGTAGGGTAAACGCGGTATATTCCGACATCGTGGGTAATTCCGTCACCTCTCTAGTTTTTCCTTTATATTAAGCTTTGTTTTAGTTCCATGCGTTCGTTGATGGTTGAAATGGTGATGTCATACATTTGCGCATCGAACTACTGCCAAAACACTAGGTCTTGGCCATCTAGCGGGAAAATATTGAGATCCAAAGAGAGACAATGCACGCTACTCAGTGAGATCATCGAAAAATGTGTCAAATTTGACAGTTGACCTTGCTCTACCAAATAGTGAATAACTGTTTGTATAGGAAGAATATTATGGTTTGAGACTTTTAAATACGTCTGTGAATTTATTAGGAAACCTTCAACTTTTCAAGTATACTTGTATTTGCTGATTTCAAGTAGTAAATAAATTAATAGATGATTAAGTTGAGAAATGAATTGAGACACATGCCATGGTCAGGAAGATGTGCCAGGTGTGCGGGAATTTATTTTGTCATTTTAACGACCTGCGCGGTGCGCCGTACTACATTGGTAAAAAAATGCGCCGTGCGCCGTACTTTAGAAAGCTAAAATAGTTCTACTATTTTAGTCGACAATATACGCGAGTATATTGACTACGCGAGTCGAACTGACAATAATAAAATGTAAGACATGTCTGGGTTATTTCTGACTCTTCCGGTTTTCCGCCTTGTCGGATACGAAACGTACGGTAATCGTAAACTGCGGCTGTTATACATACGAAATGTAAACAGACGGTGTTCAGTGTTGCCATATGACTGTGGAGAAAATTTCTTCTAAAATAAAGATGGCCGGGATTGCGCGAACACGTGCGCGAAGATAATCAATTTTCATTACATTGCACCAACTGTGCACAGCAATAGCTTAAAAAAAGTGAAAATGCGAGGGAAAATTCACCGAAAACATACATCATCCTGAGTGTGGGACACATGAAAACTAATTCCATCACAACTTGAATTGGACACACACAGATCGTTCCAAGCTATGTACAAAAATTAAAATTTGCTTAGTTAAAAGCTTAATAGTTGTCGATTAAAAGCGTAATTAAGCAGTGTTCAATATACATTAGTGTTCTTATTCAAAGCTGTGTTGTATTCCAATACAGCTCACACAGCAAACGGAATTCGAACACATGGATGAGGGCATTACGTATCAGTAGAATTTGAAGCGCGGACGGAATACGCCTCATCACATGCCAAATGTTGCCACACACAGTGTCAGAATATAGGGATTTGGTAGGTTTGCATTCTAAAGGCTTTAAAATAAATATGGCAACATCTTGTGATGTTTCATTGTTGCTGGCGCGTAGTACGGTGTTTTGCGAGTCACATAGAGCAAACAGAACTGGAGTAATGCATACGGTTATTTTTTTAAAGTTTTTCATTTCTCGCTGCGTCCTTAATGTGTCGGAATATACCACGTTTACCCTATCATGTTTTGATCCAAACTCCAAAGTGGTATTATTGCAGATTAACTACATCCAAAGAAAAGGGTGTTTTTTTTTTAATTATATGTTTTTTGGGGTGTAGATTACGAATCTGAAATCCATTTTTGGCGGTCGGCATCGGAAAACCGATTTTTACCACGGCCAGTGTAGCTGTCAGCTGACTTTCTTCAGAAGTGCAAAAGCTTTTGCCGGTGAAGGTGTTTTACGATCGGTCCGTAAAGAAGCGTTGATCGGTTCAAAATGACATAAGAACAGGTTCTTTTGAATAACCTATGGATTGCCACCATGCTGGGCTGTCTCATCTTCACTAACCTACTAACCGTCATATTTCACCTTCATGTACCACTGATTCTATTTAATATATTGTTGCCTGGTTCTTCCTCTGTTTGATCTCCTGAGTTTGTTTTTATTCTGTTCCCTGTGCTGGTACTATACCGGCCGGACCGTCGACCTTTAGAGGGGCTGACCCCCAACATTACTATTATTCTACATCATCATCACATCATGTGTTTAAACAATGAAAGTTGGTTCACCGTTTCACGGTTCACCCAAAATCCCAGATTATAAGATATAAGTATTCAAATATGAATAGCAAGGACCAGCAGAAATTTTGAAAGCCGTTAAATTACGCCATTACGGTTGGATTAAGAAGCCTGTTGGAGTTATCGAGTAATGATTTTGTAAACTTTTCTAGCTTCCAAGTTCTAGTCAACTTCTAGCTATGTAAATATCAAAGCAAACCTTTCATAGGGCTAATACGGTAGCTAAATAGGCTTCACTAAAAATCCTAATACGAGAACACACTTTCAAGAAAATAGTAAGGTGTAGACTAGGAGTATTAGATTTTCTTCAATAATCCACTTCGATTAGATACAAATTTACTCACTAATCACAGTAAAGACTAATAAAGTACGCATGCTGCACACACGCCTGTCTTTCTACACAGGTCCATGATATTGGGTTGATGAATGGAATTAATACAAATTCGATCAACACGACAAGCACGAACTTCTTTACCTTATTAGACTCCAAAGGTCAACCAAAAGTGTGACCTATAGGTAAATATTTAGAATTTAACGTTCAGACATTAACAGCATGGCAGCACCACGGGACGGTAATCAACAAAAGAATGCGGCAGAGCGCGTTGCCACTTTCACCACGTAAACATTGTATATCAAGTGCAAATTTTTTCATCTGACGTAATAAAACTAATAAATAATATGAAATTGAAGATCGCAATATGGCGCAAATAAAAATATCAATTAATGATATAAGCACATCTAATTTTCTTTACACAGTACCCTCTTATTGACGTGCACATCAGGGCGGGGAATTCGAATTAAATGGAAGGAAACAGTCACCCATTGACATTTTCTTTCATCATCATCAGAAAGTTCGCCCGCATCAGAAAGTTCGATATGGATCAACCTATTGTAATTCAAATTTTTACGCATTTTTTTATGTAGAAATTTCTTCGCGAATTTGAGACCGCAACAATATGTGAATGTTCTGCGGGGTCAGAGGTTCGGAATCGGCGATAGGCCTAATAAACGCTGAAAATGCTATTATTAAATTGAACATTACGGACATTCAGAAAAATATCAGTAATTAGAGATAGTGAGTGATCAAAGAACATTAGTTACTACCATTCATTACCAAGCCAATTCCTATTTACTAAAGAGCAAAAAATAAATGAATAAAATTTTTGAGCATACACAGGCAAGGCGCGGGCAATTGTTTCCAATTAGGTAGTTTAGGCACACATGAAGCGCATTTAACACAATTTTTTTCACCGTGAATCTTATCATTGATTCTAAAAAGAAAAAATAACTAAGAATTTCATTTAAAAAAGTACAATTCAATTATGAATTCTAAAATAACAGAGGTGGTCATACTTTCGAAAACCTTAATATTGCCGGCTGTTGATCAATGATCATTGATTAGCTGGAATCATTAGTTGAATAAATCCGATAGGCGGCTAGATTATACGGTTATAATTACATTAGAGCCTATTCAGGCAACATTTGGTACATCGGTGCCAATCAAATAATGCAAAAATTCAGCTTTTCCAATTAAATACGCATTTTGGGAATAGAAAGTATGCAATTATCAATATTAGAAGCAGAGTTCGCACCTGCCTAGCTTCAGAAAGACCAGTTTCTCCAAGCGTCAGTTTCTCCATTACCTTACCCTGAAGCAACTCACACTTACGGTCTTGCTCATATTTAGCTACAAAAATAAGCATGTACTTGCTCACATAAGCCTTTCTGATTTTTCCTAGCTTCCAATCCACTATATTAATTTTTAAAATGTGAGGGATTGAAATGGGCTGTTTGCAAATAAACTTCACTATAATTTGTTCAAGAAATTTAACGAAATCTTAGATATAGCAATTAATTAATTGGTATAGAAATTCTCACTTACTATCATTTAATTTTGACACTTCAACCTCTCTGTGGAAAGGATTTACCGCCTTCAACACAGCTCGTATCAATTACTTTCTAAACTTTCCGTTGTACAAAACAGAAAATGGCTTATGCATTCACTGAAGGCCGCTAATTTGAATACGCAATTTTTCAGTCGGCACTATCTAATGCTGGTGACGATAATACTAATGCAGGGGCTAAGATAAAAATTTTTCCATTATTTTGATTCATTTTTATTATTACAAATCTTGAAGGGAAAGGAAGATACACACTCCTTGTTTATTTTACTAGGGGTCATACACATGAAAAATTTAGTGCATATAAACTCAAAGAAAATTCTGAAAATAAAATCATTTTATATCACCGTAAACACGCAATAAAACACCTCCGTTATCAGCTGTTACGTTAGTTTTGCGGGGCTGAAGAAAGAGCTTCAATTTGAAGCATTTTAACTTTGTTATAATTTACTCTGCTCTGTATTTTCTATCTCTAATTAATGGAGTTGACAATATAGTGATATTTCTATGTAGAACACCGTCACCTTCCACTTCAAGGTGCAGTAAACTCGTGCCCAGATAGGAGGTGCCAAACATATACATATACGTTCAAAGGGATATAAATAATGATTAAGTGGCAATAGCACTCACTTTTTAACCGACATTGAACCAATTTCCATAGGCAAGTAGAGAAATGTTTTCTATATAGGATCAAGCAACAACTTATCATTGCTTCATTTGAGATATGAACAAACAACACTTCGTTGCTGAGAAATAATTTACAGCATGTATTACAATATTGAATTAACGAACATACTTTTTGTACCATATTTGATGACAACACCCTTACAAGAATACTAAATGTTTCATAGCCTACTTGCTTAAAATGCCATTTTGTGTAGCTTTTACCTCAATTTATTGCCTTTACTTCGTGGTCGCGGAATTTTCTTCCGTTTACTAGATTCGATTTTTAATCATTATTTATTTTTTTCCGTACAATTTGATGAGTTATAAATAAAATTTTCTACAATGTCTATCAAAAATCGAATATGTGGTTTCAATGATGAGCGTATGGATCAGGTTTGTGGTAGACAGGCTCATGGACGACAGGCTCGTAGGCGGCGTGAGGGGAGGAAGACTTGTGGTCGTAGTCAGGATACTTGGGCCCGTGGTTGTACTCGAAGTAGTGCTCGCCGTGCCCGTCGTGAGCGTCAGACCACTTCACCTGGGTACAGATAACACTAGTTATATGTAATCTTATCTCTTTTCCAGTGAAATATTAATAATCAATTGATAAAAAATTACTGGAGATTGCAGAATTCCCGGGACAGCTGTCCCAATGCGCATTGCGCTGCACGGTTATTAAGGAGAGACAATAACACCTGTTTCGATGCTAGTAAAATATAACATATTCAACGCAGGCCATATTCGCATTATTAGTATTTAGTTATCAGCAAACGTATTAATTGGTTAGTTACACTTGGCTTACGTCGTGAAGCATCTGAATGAAATTATCTACGAAAATGTGTCATAATCAGAATTTTCTTGAAAATCGACCAGTCGCTAGTAAAATAGTGATGTGAACTGAACTGAATCAACATAGATGCGTAAAATTTGCCACAATTACGATAGAATATTTTTTAAATTTGCTTATTAGCGCATTTCTCATTTATGGAAAAAAATGCACTATTGTGCTCGCCATGTCCGTCTGTCTGTCCGTCCGTCCGTGACCTCAAGTTTTCGTCAACGAGAAAATGCGCTCTCTGTCACTCACTGCTGTGAGTACTGAGTTATATTTTTTTTTGTAGTTGACGCAAACTTCAAATAAATTGCAGAAATGACGTGAAATAGTTGATTTCCGATAATTAAACTTTAACCAAAAATGGGGAAAATTTGTTTATTAATAATTAACGCAGAGGGAAATTTTTCAGGGAAAACGAATTATTTTTGAAAAATTTCCCTCTGTAATAGCGTTGTATTATTTTTTTAAACCATGCTATATTTTATCTCATCCCATCCGATAAAGAAGCTGACTATACTATCGTCTGATTCCTTGATTGCATATAGCCTTCACACTATAATCAAATTAGAGGACATTGGTTGGAATCGTGTTAGTATCCAGCCTGGTATCTACACTGACACTACGATTCCATCCCGTTGGAGAAATTTATCTTGGCTCTCATAAAATCGGCATCGTATAATTTGTAGTTATTTGCAATGCATTATTACGAACCCACTTTCTGATATGAAATGAATAGGCCAAACTTAATTAGCATATTCTTCAAACCCGACATCACTATACTACTAGTAGGCAAAGCTACGATCATCATATAGAACTGAGGATCTTCATATGATTTTTCTGCTTCTGAGTTTCGCTTGCAAGGATAGGAGGATCCTTGCATCAATGAGGATTTCGACCAGCCGATAATTCACGCGAGAATCAACACGATCGTGAAACTGTGATGGCCATAATGAGCGAAGCACACATTACACCAAGACACAATATGATTCTGAATTTGTGATGAAAATGGTAAGCTAAGTAAACCATTGCACGAATCAAAACAATGTGAATTTGCGATAATTATGGATTGCCGAAAAATCGTTCTCAGACTTACCCTGGTCCTGAATCTGTGATCTTTAACTTGGTCGAAACGAGAGATGTGGTGCTTTTCATTGCCTCTGTTGAAGCCTGCCTCATATTCCTTGTGTCGAGGTACGTTGAGGTACATGAAGTACCCTTTAGGCTGGTTGTAGCTGCCAACTTTCTCGGGGTGGGGAAAGGCTGATGTCGCTGCCACTGCCACCGCCACTAACACCAGAGCCTGCAGCACAACACGCGTGTTATTGACATGATCATCAGCATATCCGAGGTGCATTTTTGCATCAGCATCTAAATGAACGAACATTAAAGACTGTGTAGGAGCCTCAAATCCTCGGACATCAGGAATTATGGCATCTGTCCCATCTTTCAAAGTTGTTTTATTCCGTTAAGTTGTTAATAAATCATTGGCAACTGAGGCTGTCTGAAAATCAGTCCCTCAGATATCGGTTATCATTTTACTGCGAGCACCATTTTCAGTATCGCTAACACCACAGGATTTCCACGTGCCACAAATATCAGCTGCATAAGTATCAGTATTTTATGAAGCTCCATTGTATGTTATTTATGCAATGCCAAAATTTAATGTGTAACCATCACCATTCATACACATGCTAACAAACTCCCGACCCCCAGAAAGTGTAATTACACATGACACTATTGGTAACAACAAATTCATTGGTATACTTTTGTTACTTTTAGAGTTCTTCATGCGTAGATGATTCATTAGTAATAGGAAGCAATAGCTCCTGTGAGACATGTAAAAATTTCACACAATATTTCGAAAGTTCGTCTGACCCAATTATACTTTATCCCTTCTACACTTTTCTCGTGAGGTTTCATTTGACTAACCTGGTACTTCATTCTGCCAGCGGAAATGAAATCGGACCACAGGCACGTCAACCAACTCCACTCTAGTGGCATCCTAGCGTCGCGCTCCTTTATATCCTGCGCCAGGCCTCTTCCAAAGGATCTTGAGGGTTTCTTGTCTGAGCCGCGTTTTTTTTCTAACTTGGTTGCGGGTAAAGCTTTTGAAATGCTTCTTCATTCTCGCGGCTATAGTCTCGCTGGTTTCATTACTTGATGGTAAAATGTATCCTGCAATGTAGATGGTATAGTGCATGGGGAGATACTACAGTGTGAGCATATATATTCTTGTTCCGTGTCATCGCAGGTTCGGCTCATTGTCAGTCATTATTTCCTGTGCAGGATCATTCATTTCATAAGGCATAGTGCCGAAACAAAATATTTGATGTGTCTATGTGTTGCAGGTTTATTGATCGTCAATTGCATCAATCTTTTTACTAAGTCTATTTTTAATTCAAAAAAATATATATGACTCGAATACTCAACATATTCTCAATCAATTAAATCAAATATGTTGCGATACTCTGACTTTTAATGAGGTTCGACACAGCATTTTGATTCAACAGTGATGAGAAATGATAATATTCGTGCATAGAATTCGAAGTTTTACAGCGACTAAGACCATCACATTACATTTTACTGGAACGTACATTAATTCTTCCCACTTGAGAGGACGCAACGCCTGTAACGCATTTCGATGGATGCATGTTTTCCATTTCCGGAATTATCTCACTGTGATATACATCCAAATAAGTTTCTTGGTGAGAGTTGATTTCCTAAATGCTCAGAGTTTTTCTATTCCATCGTAAAATTTTACGAGTTTTCGTCCAGAACTTGATTTCGACCGGCCAAGAGAAGCGCTGTTTAACAGGTTAGAAAGTTAGTCTTCAGCGCGACAATCCAGGTTACAGCTGCTGGTCGCTCGTTCCGTGGGATGCTTTCTTTTCCGTGGATGAAAACTGCTATGCCTATTGTTGGACGACGACGCCAACCAACTGCCATTATGCAAAACTTAAATTTTTCATATTGTTGTGAGCGAAATTAAGTCACAAGCCAACACTGTTGGAGTAAATATTATTCACGTTCATATTATGGTGAGCTTGAATAGACAAGAACACAAATTTTAAACAAAAATCCTAACTAAAAACATTCATGAAGCCAACTTTAAGGAAAAATGAGCTTTCAAAAACGCACATAGTGACGAACTGACGCATAGCTCAAAATGGTTCGGCTCTTGCTTGACATTGCAGAACAAGTTCTAACGGTGTGAGATTCTTATTTATTTTGTATATATCAACTATAAGTACCGGAATACACACCAATACCGCATGCGATGTGCACGAATTCCTGGAAAAATTAATTAAACTCCCATTTCCCTTAGTGAGAGAAGACTTTCTTCACACCGGGCGTTGGTCAACAACTTTTTATTCGATCCTTGGGCAATGAATCCTGGCGGCTGAGATGTTGAGACCCCCCAGGGACCAGTAGAGCGAAAACCGCTCATCCTGCTGCTGTAATGAGCGCTGCCTTGCAACTTATTAGCCTGAAGTTCTAATACCCATATATTCAACATGGTTTCGATTTATGGTTAACCGAGTAGAATAATATTAGAGGATGTTAGAAGGAAAAAATGTTATGACATCAACTCATACGTGGAGTAGGATATAAATAAATTAAATCAATGACATTGATTTTAAAATTGAACTGCAACTTTTAAACAATTAAGCTAAATACAACTCTCTCCTTCTAATTTAGTTCCCTTACCTCCACGCTATCACCAGATCACTGAAAAAATTGCTTCAAGAGATTGGAAATTCCAAATGCCTAATTCATGAACGTTGATTGTTTATGTTGAATGTCGTTAGGAACACATTTTACTTATGAATTTAATTAAGATTTTATAAAGAAAGGCAAAAGATGTTTGCGGTGGCTAACCCAAAGCCGACACGCGCATAATTTTAACCTCAAGTAAACTCTAAGACGCGGCTAGATGTGACTAGGGTAATTTGGTGATAAATTCAAAGATAACTATCTAGTAATGTAGTGTGATTTCGTGAAGATTTATCCTAGGTTCTCACATCATTATCCCTACATTAGGTTTACTTTGGAAACACACATGTGCCATTGTAGCTCTGATTAAGTCTATACTCTAATTAGTCCAAAAACTACAAACTGTAATATTTTCAAAGATATACTCAATTTTCATAAGCATTTTACTTCTCTTCAAAACTTGATAGAGCTAGGAGTTCATTGGTTGATTTAAATCCATTTTATTCGACAATATAGTTTTAATCCTAAATTATTAAATTAATTTTGTTTCACTCAGTAAAGCAAAGTAACATTTAGGGTTTAATAAGCCTAAACAATGTTATATTTTAAAGAAATAACGATCAGTTAGCTTCGATCCCCAACTGGCAACAGTAAGCTTCGACCCCAACAAGGCAACAGTTAGCTCCGACCCCAACAAGGCAACAGTTAGCTTCGACCCCAACAAGACAACAGTTAGCTTCGACCCCAACAAGACAACAGTTAGCTTCGACCCCAACAAGACAACAGTTAGCTTCGACCCCAACAAGGCAACAGTTAGCTTCGACCCCCAACTGAACAACAGTTAGCTTCGACCCCAACTGGACAACAGTTAGCTTCGATCCTCAACTGGGCAACAGTTGGCTCCCACGCCATCAGATGCTTGAACTCAACTAAAAGCTAGTGACGCCCGCGGCGCTAGGCTGAGACGGCTTAATTTCGCTCGTATCTCCAGATTAGTGCTCTAGCTCATCGTAACTGTGAATTGTTGATAGTTGAGTGATTGGTAAACAATTGGTAAATTTCAATGCATTGAAGAAGGATTTTCTATAAACCGTTCTTATAACGGCTCTTTGGGACCAACCTTTGAGTCCAAGTCCAATTGTTGATAATATCATGTTTTAACTGTTGGTCACGGAATCCTACTGAAGGTATGACAAAGGGAAACTCATGTCTCGTCTGGACCGAGAAGAAGGGCACGGGTAAGACTGTAGGCATTACCTGAGAGCTTCAGTCGTGAAGCTGCGTGCTCTGCCCGCCCGACCGCCCATCCCCAAGCGGCTAGTCTCATTCTGGAATACAGCGTTGCCAAACCTCTCTTTTTTTTACGAATGTTTGAAAGGATTTATACCACGCTTGCTGTTAGAGTCATACAATTATCCTGTTTATTGTTAAATAATAAGCAAATTGATTTTATAAACATTTATTTCTGGACTTGAATTCGAAATCCGGAAATATATATGATTGCAGAGTGTGGCACATCAGCCGTAGTGTGCACTTCACTCGCCCAAGATGGCTTTTCTGTGCCCGGTTAGAATACGCAGGAATAAGAAAAAGAAGAGTAAGTTAGGGATAAAGCGAGAAAAATAGTGTTAAAATTTGCGTATGAGTCTATGAATAGCTGGTGATTATGTGGTTTTTGCACCTGAGGAGATTCAGAAAGGGAGTTCACTACGTCGATGGTTTACAACTTGAAAATGACAGGTTTCCCTTGTGTCTCCGGCAGAGCTGGGTGTAGTTGTCACTGCCAGTGCTTGTTGACAGGGCTATTTTCGCAGTTTTTGCCTTGTGAATTTCTATGATTAGCGGCTGAATATTTATTCTTACGTGCCCTTCAAGACACGGTGGAGTCAGTGTATCAAGATGCGTGATGTGACAGCACGAAAATAGAACGTGTGAAGGAAGATTCATGTTCACAATAATGCCTGCGGAGTAGGAGTGGTGTCCGTCCCGCACTTTCTTGTCATTTCCACCAAAAGTTTTCTGATAAAATTTCTTAAATTTTATTTTGAGTTTTACAATAATTTTAGATGGATTCACACACGTTGCACCAGGTCAATTGTGGTATATTTAAAGCGTCAACTTTTTATTTGTACGCAATTATTTTCATGTTGTGTGAGCCTCACCATCTGAGCAGCATCAGGACTACTTTCTTAATTGCAGCATGAATGGATGCCCTCGTTCATACCGTTAAACCTTTATTCCATCTTTTGATTCATCTTATTCATCTTGTTTTTGCGTCATCGAGCATTACGTTCAAAATGGCAATTTGAAGCAACAAATATACTTATTGAATCTTATATCTAGAATTCAATAAAAACATTCGTTTCGACTAAAATTTAGTTCGTTGAAAAGTAATTTAATCTAATATTTTTTACTTCAAGTTCAAATTTCACTGCGGTCGTGAGTTGGTTCACGATATTCAAGACTGAGCGGGGAATTTCTATTGAACATGAATAGGTAATTGCGCCTATAGCCATCACGATGGCTGGTTGATGTATTCACTCTTCACGATGGTTAGTCGGTGTATTCACCCTTCACGATGGTTGGTTGATGTATTCACCCTTCACGATGGTTGTCGATGTATCCACCCTTTACGATGGTTGGTTGATGTATTCACCCTTCACGATGGTTGGTTGATGTATTCGCCCTTCACGATGGTTGTCGATGTATCCACCCTTTACGATGGTTGGTTGATGTATTCACCCTCTACGATGGTTGGTTGATGTATCCACCCTTCACGATGGTTGGTCGATGTATTCACCTTTCACGATAGTATTTGATATATCTACCCTTTACGATGGTTGGTTGATGTATCCACCCTTCACGATGGTTGGTCGATGTATTCACCTTTCACGATAGTATTTGATATATCCACCCTTCACGATGGTTGGTTGATGTATTCACCCTTCACGATGGTTGGTCGATGTATTCACCCTTCACGACAGTTGGTCGATGGATTCAACATTCACGATGGTTGGATTGGTTGAATGCATCGATGGTTGGATTCGCGAAACATTATGAATGATCTCAGACCTCGGACTTTACTGGCAAAGAATTTTGGTGAACGGTCGAACTAAGACACGCGAACGTATTGGTAGTACACACGCTTGATGCGTAAATGCGTATAAATGTTCTTACACACGTGCGCAGCCAGTATGTTTACGAATGTTCGTACCAACGTGCTTTGCGTGTATGTTTGGAAGTATTCGTACACACGCGCATTGCGTGAGGACGAAGGATGACTTGCTAAATATGATGCCAACACGTTGATGTTCGTGAACGTAGATCACTTCTTACTAAGCGTCGAGGTTCCTTAATAAACGTTCTTATTAGATGCTCTTATGAAGAAAAATCTGCATAAAATTTGAGTTCAAAACTTGGACTCTTTTGTTTCCACGCGTTTTAACTTTATAAAATGTGGAAAATTAATGTTTTTAGCTATTTTATAGGACATTCGTGTTGCTTTCTTTTATTAAAATAATTCTATACTAATGATGATTGATGAATTATAAACAATAAATTCACGTTTTTTGGCGTTAATTACTGAGATAAAATTCGATTATTCGATTTCTTTATTATTATTAGAGGCCTTTAAATTTGAATTTGAGGAAAAAGGAGTCTGATCTCACTAAATTTACACTAATGGTGCAATTTATAAAAAATAAGAAATTGAAAAGTTAGGAGTAAACTGTTTAAGTAAAGTAAAATTTTTATGTAAATTGTAATTGTAAAGTAAATTGTCGAGGTTCTAGCTGTGCACTGTTGATATTGATATCCTCCAAGTGATATTTCCCCCTGTAGCAGCCACTACGAGCGGCTATGCCTCAGAAGGGGACGAGAAGCCCCCCCGCAACCCCGGCCTGGGGCGCATCACGGGGTCTGCCTCCATCGAGACCCTCGTCAGGGTGGGGCTCGAGAAGGAAGCCGGTCTGTCCCCCGACAGCAAGATGGTCGTCGTGCAGGACTTCACTCCTTGTGTCGACGATGAACTTGAAGTCAAAAGGGGCAGTGTGAGTAAGGGACCTGAGTAAATGATGAACTATAGGTCAAAAGAAACAGAGTGAGTATGGAACTTGCGTGTAGGTTGAACTGGAAGTCCAAAGGGCAACGTTAATATGGGACTTGTATGGAGGATAAATTGACGATTAAATTAAATATAGCAGCGTGAGTATGGTGTTTGTATTAACGACAAAGTAGAACTTTTAAGAGGCTTTAGACCAAAACTAAAGAATCGATTCGGTTAGTTTATAAATCGTGTAGATTGCAAACTCGAAGTGATCTAAGTTTATCGATTGCCTTAAAAAGAGTCGATTCGGTATTATATTGCTATTATAATGTACCATCGCTTTACCTATTGCCCTCAACTATATGCATTCTCTATCGCTTCAGGTGGTGAACGTTCTATACCAAGAGAACGATTGGGTCTACGTGATATCAGAAGCGGGCGAGCAAGAAGGGTTCATACCACACACATATTGCGTTCCTCTGTCTCAGAGGCCGGCGAGTCTCAGCATACATAAGGTGAGACATACATACATGCATCCAGCTGCTCGCTATCACCCATTGCATCCATAATTTACAACTGTCATCTAGAATTATTTGGCTCCACTTTGAAAGCAAAAAAATGAATGAAATGAATTTAAATTATTCAGACGAAGAAAATGCCGCGAGACGCCGTGCCGGACGTGGGAGGCTCCACCGTGGACACGGACCACAACACCACACTGGGGACCAACTCCGTGGGCGGTCCCAGGAGATGCGATTCTTTGTATGACTTCGGTTAGTGATTATTTTAACGTGGAATATTTTAACTTGGATAAAATATGAATAAGAATTATTTTAATCTTTCTTAATTCTAATGTTAAATTAATGGCTCAAAGAGTTTGTGTGAAAAGTACTGTCGCACGACGAGCTGGTAATGCAAACTAAATCAATAAGAAATAGTCCAGTGGATTATTATAAAACTAACGGGTTGTAAATATGAAGATATGACAGTATTTAGTGCCGTAGCATTTATCACAAAAAAATAATCGGGATTTATTGATGTTTACTTACTAATACCAACAATGCTGTACAAAATAAATGAATTCGGGTTATACAGCAGCGGTCGCGGGAATGAGTTTCTGAATAAATAGTAGCATGCAATGTCGTAACTGTCTCCAAGCCTGTCATTCCTGGAGCTGATAAAAAATAATCAGGTATTCATTCTCCAATAAATCTTGTCATTCACAGACTTGTTTAAGAAAACAATATCTATTTGATAAAAGGAAGCGTAAGTTTCTTCTCAGCAGCAGCGCTGAAACAACGATGAAGAACCCGATGTTATGGAATATTATATATGTATTCTGAACGCCCCTCGTCGAAGATATCCAATGACGTCGAAGAAAAATTAATTAGGAAATCAATGTTTCTCTCGCATGTTGATAATTGTTTACCCCATACCATAACACCAGACACGTTTTTTTAAACGGTTTTATATTATATTTGTACTTACGTTTCTAATTAGTTTTTGAATTACGTTTTTAGTATAACATTTTTTAACTTCAAGCCTTGTTTTTTATTCAGACACGATTCTAATTAGTTTTTAAATTATGTTTTAGTAACATTTTTAACTTCAAGCGTTGTTTTTTATTCAGACACGTTTCTAATTAGTTTTTTAATTATGTTTTAGTAACATTTTTTAACTTCAAGCGTTGTTTTTTATTCAGACAACCCGGCGCTGGTGAACTCTGACAACGACAGCTACGGTAACGGCAACAGACTGAAGGCCGGCGTCGCGCAGGGCAACAGAGCGTCCGACTCGTCTCTGCAGAGCGCCTCCCACACGCCTGAGATCCATCCTTTCTTTAAGGTGTCCTATCAATACTATCTTGATTATCCATACTGTTACAGTATGTTGTAACATACCTTACATACAATACTGTTCATTACAGTATGTTGTAACATACATCTCTTGATTGTCCATACTGTTACAGTATGTTGTAACATGTTGTAACATACTGTACATACATTACATACTGTACATTACAGTATGTTGTAACATACATCTCTTGATTATCCATACTGTTGATTATATATCTCGAATAATTTATAAAAAAGAAATGATAAAAACAATTTCCTCAATAAAAACATAGAATCGCAAAAAAGTAGTTATCGGAGTAACTCAGCATTTTCTTTGTTTTAAAATGCTTTGTTATTTTGCGATTTATGAATACTAATGACATATTCATAATTAAATATAATTCACTCTCCTTGATGGGAGCACAACGCACGAGGCTAACGTCTACCTTGAAAATTTCGTCTTTAGTTTGGGTTCGATGTATGATCTCAATTAGTTTGCGTTGAAACGTCCTAATAGATTTCAGTGTTAAATTATGCTCTCTGTCATTATGTAAGCAATAAATTATATTAATTATATCTGTTTTTCCATAAATTATCTTTCGAAGTTAATCTTGAAAAAATATTTTCTAAAAATATTTTTCTCATCATACAGATATTAAATAGGTTGAGAGGGCTCGAAAAAAACATGGACTGAAATTTAATACATTTGCATTTATGATAGATTGGAATTACCCCAAAAAGTAACATTCAATAATTATGCACTGAAATATAATCTCCCAAGGAAAATGATATTCCACCTGAAACATTCGGTGGAGAAAATTTCCCCATTTAATTAGTTCGAAAGATTTTCCTCAGGTCTTGCATTTTTCCCCCAATTAGCTATTATAAACTTCAATCACAACCTTCTCAAATTAAAACTCTGTAGTTTTGTCTCGGAAATTTTTCATTAATAGGGATATAAGAGAGGCGACGCCAAAAAAACGGACTGATTTTTTAAAATTTGTTTATGTATTCAACTCTTCTTTTAAAATTTGATGGAGTGAACCCCAGCAAATGTGTGACTGGGGACTAGGAACTGTCCCAGTCACTTGGGACAGCTCCGCTAGTTCTTCAATACTTCTACGTCGATCTTCAAAATTTGGTACCTAATTTTCTTAACATTTTCTTGAGTGCGTTAAGTAGAAGGACGACTTGAGCGAGGTTGGTCGTCAATTGACATTTCCTCTTTTTTGAAGCGATAAAATCGCTCAAAGACTTGCGTTCTCCCCATAGCATCATCTGCGTAGGCTGTCTGTAGAATTTCCTCTTCAGTTTTTCACTGAAGAAAGCAAAATTTGATGGCAGCACGGTGCTCACGAAAATCAGACATCACCAAAAAACGAAGAGGGTACAAAAAAAATTTGTGATGATGGTATATGCGGCCATCTAGGGCAGCAATGCGTGGCACACTAGCTGATGAATGTCAGTAGCATATGCACATATTGGCAGGATGCGGTACTACCAAAGCTTCACCCACCACACATGCAGTCCGGTTTTTTTGGGTCGCCCCTCGTAAACTGTGCAGAATAGCTTGTTGCTTTTGGGAGATCCTGTCCTTTTTGTATTTTCTATTGTATTTGTTAAACAATTCAAGTGGCAATCACTTTCGAAAAACACTTTTCTTCAATTTCGAAAATCCTTTTCCATCAATTACGGTGTTGCTTTAATTTGTGACTTGAACCCAGCGGGCCACAATACTGATCTGTTCTGTTCGAATTTTTATGTAGATTTTTTAGGGCCTCAAATTTTTGCGATTAATCTTCTAAGTTCTTCTTGTTTATTGCATTGATCGATGGCGCAGATCCCAGTGGGCTTCTACATCGCTCTCTCCTCTTCGAATTTCCTTGATATGTAGGTTCTTGTATCACCTTTAATTTGTGTAACTAATTTCCTAATTTCTTATTGTTTATTGTATGGTTGGAGGCGCAGAACACAACGGGCCTCATTACGCAAATTTTTCACATAGATTTTTCAACACCTCAAATTTCTGCTTCAAATTTTATATTTATTGCATGGGTTGGTGACGCAGAAACCAGCGGACCGCAACACACAAATGTTTTATGTAAATTTTGCAACACGTCTAATTTCTGTAGTAAATTTTATATTGATTGCATTGGTTGGTGACGCAGAAACCAGCGGATCGCAACACACAAATTTTTTCTGTAAAATTTTCAACACCTCTAATTTCTGTAATAAATTTTATATTTATTGCATTGGTTGGTGGCGCAGAACCCAGCGGACCGCAAAACACAAATTTTTTATTTAAAATTTTCAACACGTCTAATTTTTGCAATAAATTTTATTTTGATTACATTGGTTGGTGGCGCAGAACCCAGCAGGCCACTACATCGTGCTGTACACGTTCATCGCCCGCGACGAGAACGACGTGAGCGTAGAGCGCGGCGAGTTCGTGACGGTCCTTAACAGGGAGGACCCCGACTGGTACTGGGTGCTCAGGTCTGATGGGCAGGAGGGCTTCGTGCCTTCAGGCTTCGTATATCCCGCAGATGTTATTCAAGGTGGGTCACAAATGGGCGAATTTGAATAGCCATGTGTTGAAATTAACTCTTAACTTAGTATATATGATTACGACTGCACTGCATTGAGTTAAGGATAGAATATACGGATGCTTTCAACTCATTTACGGTTTGAATATGCATGCTCTGTACTGGATTAAGGTTTGGACACGAATATTCTCAACTCAGTTGAAGTTACTTAGAGAAGATCTGTGTTTAATGTTCTCAATACAGATCTTCTCTAATGAATTAAGGTTAAGACACGGATACTATCAACCTAGCTAAGGTTAGAATGTTGATGATGTTACAGATGAACGTATCGAAAGAAGTCATTTTCTGGAGAGACAAACTTCAGATCAAAGTGGAAAGCCCCTCAAAAATGTCCATCACCAAAAACTGGATAGCTTTCAGAATTTTATTTTGAAAAACATACAAAATTAGCTATATTAGATTAACTCAATCCAGCACTATAACTGCACCAACATCTCAAAATTTTAAATTGTTTACAAAAAACATTGGTTTAACTGGCGCCCAAAACCAAACTGGCGCTTCATTTGGAGTCACTTCCCACTGCTGCCTTCGAATCGGGGAAGGTCAGAAGGTTGTGGCCATGCATCCTGTACCCAAAATGTATCCACAGATTAAAATTTTTGGCGTTCAAGTCAGGTGAAAGAGACGACGATTCTGATTCACCCCAGCTGCTGAGCTGTCGGTCAAAGAAACTTTACTGTAGCCACGTCAACGATTTGTATCAATCGTGCCAATAATTCATGAAAAAACATTAAAGGTCCCCGACTACCCTTCTTCTTAATTAGCGTAATTTGCAGTCGCTTCCATGACCGACTGAACTGCTGTAATTGCGACCTGAAGTCGTCGCCGCATTCACTGGACTTGAACGCAGTAGCTTTATATCCCTGGGGTCGGCCTTAGGTGCAATCCCCTCCGGAAATATATATAGATGATCCGGCGACAATCTTTAGACCGTCTCTGAATTGAAAGCATCAATCACAGCAGCAATATTAGTGACCTCTTCAAATAGAAAATTAAGATCATATTGTCCAAATAGTAACACACTTTCTGCATGCAGTGCTGAGTAGCATTTTTTTGACGGAAGAAACTGGTTAAGGATGACCCAGAAATGGGCAAAAATCCGTCGCTTTTAGGACAAAGCCTCACTCATTGCTCTGAGTGCACGGGAAGGATGTGGAAGGGCCTTCAACAGCGGGATAATTCATTCAAAATAGAAAATTTGATCGGCAGTTGAATTAAAGATATTTTTATAGACTTGAAACCTAGGTAGTGTCTGTTACATAGACTGAAGAGACCTAATGCTGCTGAAATTTGTTTTATCTATACGTAACATTTTGCTATTTTTTTCCTTATCGATTGGTGTTGTTTGCAAAGTTAGTATATGATCTGATGAAATTCATAGCTTACCTCGCTGCGTAACACGATTCTGACAATTATTTTACTCAATATTGAAGTGAATGTGCAGGTTTAGTTTCAACACCAAGAGCTTCCTTTGTCTCGTAAATTTTATTCTCAGTTCTAGAATACTTGTGTTAAAAATCTTAAACATTCTGGCCTTGAAAAGGTATAGAATATTTTGTATATCCGTCGTTATACTAAAAGAAATCGAGTTTAAATTCTCATTCGTCATTATGTTAAGGAAAGTGTTAGACAAAATTTCGGAGAACAAATTAATGTTTGTCTTTAAATATATTTTCGATTGGTTGTAGTTTTGATGTATTGCTATAAAATAGTCGAATAAGGCCCCCTTTTTTAATTATTCATTGTGTAAAGATTAACTCTACGCATTATTACTACATTCGAGTTATATTTATCGTATATTATAGTTATATATAGTCCAGATGCACATATTCGGCACATATTCGTATCATCAGCAACCATGCTTGCTTTTTGTCAACATAAATTATTAAATTTAATAAATTAGATAAATATTTGTAAATAAATATTAATTTTTTGTTATAATACAAGTAATGCACGCATTATCTTCCTCTAATTCAGCACCGATTTCATCGTAATGTTTCTCGTAGACCACCTGCAGAGTGGGGGCAGTGGGGGCGGAGTGGGGGGCAGTGGGGAGACCCCCCCTCTGGGGGAGGTGGGAGGTGATTATAAGGTGGGGCTGGGTGATTATAAGGTGGGGCTAGGTGATTATAAGGTGGGCTGGGTGATTATAAGGTGGGGCTGGGTGATTATAAGTTGGGACTGGGTGATTATAAGGTGAGCTGGGTGATTATAAGGTGGGCTGTGTGATTATAAGGTGAGCTGGGTGATTATAAGGTGGGCTGGGTGATTATAAGATGGGCTGGGTGATTATAAGGTGGGCTGGGTGATTATAAGGTGGGGCTGGGTGATTATAAGGTGGGGCTGGGTGATTATAAGTTGGGACTGGGTGATTATAAGGTGAGCTGGGTGATTATAAGGTGGGCTGGGTGATTATAAGGTGGGACTGTGTGATTATAAGGTGGGATTGTACGGTTATAAGGTGGGATGTACGGTTATAAGGTGGGATTGTACGGTTATAAGGTGGGATTGTACGGTTATAAGGTGGGGTTGCGTGATTATGAGAAGTTATTTTTTTTCATCAAAATGTAAGATTTCATGATTAACATGAATCTTCAATAATTTGAAGTTCATGTCGTACTTTTTTATCGGCATTCGTAGTGCTCGGTGACTAAAAAAAAGTATTTGCTTATATCGAGCCCTGATTCTCCGTAGCTTTCAGTTACACGTAGTAACAATGTGAACTATAACAACTCTCTGGTCTGTCGACATCAAATGGATTTCTAATCAAGTTTTTCGACATCAAATGGATTTCTAATCAAGTTTTTCTTGGCTGCGGCGCACTTTAGTGGTTTTGGTGTCATTTTTTTCGCATGACACCTCGACCTTACACGACGACGCGTGTACTCTAACCTCGGCATACCTCAAATGTTTGTCGACCAGGTCAGGGCAATTGTGCAATGTTTTTCTGCACCTTTGGCTGGTTTGTCCACGGTCTTGACGATACGTTAGTGCTAGTTAGTATAATTACCTGGAAAAACTCAACTGTTTCAATCGTTCCGATGGAATAGTTAAATTGCATAACAATTCAGGTTCATTTTTTTCCTGGCTACAGTACGCGTTCACTTTTCATATTTCTTTTGTTCGTGTAGGCTGAGGCTTCAGATGAGTTTTGTTCTTACTTTTTATCAGTAAGTGCATTTTCAGAGAGGATATTTTAAAATTTTTCCTTTTCATTGAAATTATACCTTAATTTGTCTAAATTACAGCCTGAGTGTATTTCTTTGCATTACTTTTGTTTGTGCAGTCCACGACCTGGGACGACATGTCTGCAACGGTGTATGAATATCTTTGTATATTCATACACCGAGAATAATCACAGAATATAATATAATATGAATATCTTATATACCGGTATATAAGATATATAATATCTTAGATGTAATTTCTTATATAATATGCATGAATATCTTATATTCACTAATATATTAGCTTTAATTTTTCCTACGTCTTTTTATACTCAGATATTTTGCATATGTTTGTATAGGCGCAGGCCCCGGACGACCTGTCGGTGCGGCGTGGGGACTGGATATACGCAGACCTCAGCAACCAGACGGTGGACGGTTGGCTGTGGGCGTTCGCCCCCAAGACCCGCAAGTGCGGCTTCATCCCTAAAGCCTACGCCAGACCCCCGGCCATGACGTCACTGTGACGTCAGACCCCCCGGCCATGACGTCACTGTGAAGTCAGACCCCCAGCCATGACGTCACTGTGAAGTCAGACCCCCAGCCATGACGTCACTGTGACGTCAGACAACCGAACATGACGTCACTGTGACGTCAGACCCCCGGCCATGACGTCACTGTGACGTCAGACCCCCGGCCATGACGTCACTGTGACGTCAGACCCCCCAGCCATGATGTCACTGTGAAGTCAGACCCCCGGCCATGACGTCACTGTGACGCTCTCAACTGTAGATTACTGTACAGTCAACGTAACTGCGAGCTTTCCCCATGAAGGCTGCGTGTAGACTTCTTTGAAGCCGAATGTGATTTTAACAATATTTTAAGATGAGCCTTTATTACATAACCTGTAATAGAAATGTGAAGCCTGCAACGGGCGCGACTAAAAGATTGCAGCTCAAGACTCTGGACTTATGTGCCGTCTTCGAGTGTAAGTCGAGTTCTGTTTCTTGGGCTCATGCATGTTGTTCGATATTTTGTGATAAAAAAAATTGCGATAGAGTGTGAAACTTGCGGTATTTGCTGAATGTGTATTGATATATTTTCTGTGCCAGCTTGCTTTTGAGCGCGCTGCGTGCCGTGATGCGTGGTGCAATCTGTGGTGCTAACACAAATTTCGGTGCGCAACGTATTAATGATCTAGTGTTATCAGAAAGGCTGATAACTTATGAAGATGTTGTGTGTATCTCCTGCGAAACTAATGTTATCCTACAATCGTATGGCTCGAAAATGTCGGCCCTTCGCTTACGAGAAAACATATAATAATATTTTATGAATTACGGTACTCGATATTATTAATGATCATTGGATTTAAGCTATCCTGCTCGGAAATAATACGAACATAAAACATATCGTAGAAAGAAAAGCAACGCTTTGAATCGCTTTGAATATATTTAGTTGTGCATAATTTATTATCAGTGCCTTATCAGTCGAAGAAACAAAGAGCTACAATCATGAGTAACTCACGTACTGTGATCACGCGTACGAATAGCACGCATACAAGCTGTTCATTTCTGTAGTCTCGTATCGGAGGGAGATGTCGTGTGATCATTTGAACAGATGTCGTGTTGAACAGATCTCCGTGTAACGGTTTTGTGATGGCTTACAATATTAAGTGATGATTTAAATAGAGAACTTTCTAATAAGCAAGAGCACTTGGAAAATGGTCATATGTGCGTTACGACCGGTTAGACTTTAGAGGACATCTCTCTAGCGTATATATGTAACTGCGCATGTTTTTGTTTCACTGTTAAGGTAGTTGCTAAGGAATGTTGTATGATAAAATTTTAAGATATTATCTTCGACGATAACGAGTCTTCGGTCACTGAAATTGACGAGGTTATCAAACTTATCAGTGAAGCCTTGCAAAGCTATGAGTATTGTATTGTTAATTTTTCTCTAGTGCTTCATGTTCAAAGGTTACGCAAAGTCTGTGCTCGTGGAACTTAAAAAACTTGAGTTTTTTCAAAATTGAAGTATTGACTGGTGCTGCTATGAAGCCGATATCGCCTTCGACTACGGAATTTCCCATCGTGTTTGTGTGGTGGTGATGCCCTCAGTTTTGTGTGGTGGTGATGCCCTCAGTTTTGTGTGGTGGCGATGCCCTCAGTTTTGTGTGGTGCTGATGCCCTCAGTTTTGTGTGGTGGCGATGCCCTCAGTTTTGTGTTGTGGTGATGCCCTCAGGTTGTGTGTTTGAGTTCCCAAAAATCGATTTTAGGAAACGATAATGGTTGCATTACATGCAGCTTCAGGGGCGAACTGCATGTGTGGCGCAGGATCTGCATTAATTTAAATAAATAAATTAATGTCTCTGTGTTTGATTAACGAGATTCACAATAATTGCTTGTGTGCGTGTTTAATTAGTAGTCAATTGAAAGTACTATGTAAAAAATCATTAGATGTCTGACCCTTTACGGTCATTAAAAAAAACTGCTCTTAAAAGATATCATTCCATATGTACGTGTGCCACGATAGTTGTCTAAATAAATGTTATTCTTAATTAAACAATCTGCTCTTTGTTTTTTTATTCATCATACTAAAGTTTGGATTTTTAGCTCCACTTTGGGTATTTTTGATCGATGTCAAGAGGTGACCAACGTACGTAGCCTGCATGTCCTTATATTTTGTACCAGGAATTACCCCCAAGTTCTTTTTAGCGCATTTTCTTATTTATGGAAAAAATGCCCTGTTGTGCTCGCCATGTCCGTCCGTCTGTCCGTCCGTGACTTCATGTTTTCGTCGACGAGAAAATGCGCTCTCTGTCACTCACTGCAGTGGGTACTGAGTTATATTTTTTTGTGTTATGACTGAGCAAGTCGTCACTATACAGAAAGTGTGGACGTAATTAGATAAAATTGGTCCTAAAAAAACTTTCCCACACATTAGTCATCTTGGCAATAATCACTCTGATACTACTCCGAGTTGAAGACAATAATTCTATTGAGTTCTAAACAATATATTACGCTAAAATTTCTATTTGAACGGTATGTAGAATTTAGCGAAAACAATGCTTAAATTTGCTGCAGAAAACGTGCTGCAAACTGTACAAAGAGTAATTTCTGATAAAGATTTAAGAACAAATTTTTTGCCCCCTTCTACTAGTAACTCAAATAAATAACGGGAAAATCATCACTTTAATGAACATCACGGGAGTACATTTCATTTTAAACATGATGAGTGTTTCTTATATATATACATATATTTTGCTATAAGTAAAAGGTTTTATTGTCAAGTATCATAATTAGGAAAAATTATGACGTATACAAAAAAAAAACATTTAACTTGCAGATTAGAAATCTGTATTATAATGCAGAGAATTCTTTGGTATTTGAGCAGAGTAAATTAGCGTGTATGCGAATACTTTTATTTACGTACGTCAATACTTCTGGAAGTTTACTACTAAATGAGTTTGTTTGCTCATACTCAATTTGACGATCTTTTTCCTGCTCGTCGACACTAAGCAATGCGACTTATTCGGTCAGAAAGGCTGTTAATGGCCCGTGGCCACTTTAAGTCACAGCTGACCCTGACCATTCGGGCCACGCAGCTGAGGATTAGCGAGCTTGCCCTTGATGAACCACTTTCATATTACGTCTAACGAAAAAAAAGTAACATAAAGTATAAGGCATACAATTTCTGCGAAGACACTTTAACAGTCTCATTAGGTTATAAGTCTTATCAGGTTAGCAGTCTCATTAGGTTGGCAGTCTTGTTAGGTTAGCAGTCTCATCAGGTTGGCAGTCATATATTAGGTTATAAGTCTCATCAGGTTATCAGTCTTATTAGGTTAGCAATTTCATTAGGTTAGCAGTCCCATTAGGTTAGCAGTCCCATTAGGTTAGCAGTCTCAGTAAGTTAGCATTATCATTAGGTTAGCAGTCTTAAAAGGTTTGCAGTCTCATTAGGTTCGCCTCATCAGGCTGGCTGTTTTCGTTAGGCTAGCAGTCACCGCCCCTAGAGGCGGTGTTCACTGTTCAATCAGGCGGTGTTGAAGGCGGTTTCAATCAGTAATTGAACATTCGCAAGTCATGTCGCTAATTAAAACAACCGTAAGGCGTTCATATCACGCGAACAATGACTTCAGTAAATGAGCTTTTATATCGAAGAATGCAGAACAATAATGAAAGTCCAAAATTTAATGATAGGCTAGGTGTTATGGAGTTAGGTTCTTTATAGTATGCTCGAGGCCATTGCAGTTTTCCTACCGCTTGCCTCTGCTGAATTTACTAAGTAGACTTGTAAGGAGTGTCATAATACTCGTAAGATTACTTACTCTAAACAACTTCCGTAACACGAAACAAAATGAGTTAAAATAGAATTTTTTCTCATATGATGAAGTTGATCTGTTAAATAGTGAAACTTTGTGCCATGAGACGGATAGCCTTGGAAAACTGTGCTTTGGCTTTATCAATAAAAACGGTAGTGGGCTCGCTACTTATCCCTTCTCCAAAATCATGGACGATGCTAGTAATTTATTTGTAACTTGTTTTACCGCTGTATCCTGTGTATTAAAGAAGTACATTATTATCTTTCATGGTTTTTAACCTGAATCTCTCACTGAATTCTTTGTGTATCATGTAGCTCTTTGACTCAATATGGATCAGACACAATCCACATTTGAGAATATTGTCTTCAGCAACTTTCGTACCGTGGATACGAAATAAGTATGTGTATGAAAAAATGGAGCGTCTATGGAGAGCTCAGAGTAAGAGTGAAACTAATTAGTGTCAAGGGCATTTTTTATTAGAATGCAGGGTATATGTGTGGTGTAATGAAACAGTACCATAAATTGAGTACAATACTTAATTCATGGTTTTAAGCAACCATCAAGCGTAACTAAAAACGCTCAATGATACTTTAGCACATGTATAATGGTGAGAGGTGCGCACAATCAACGGCACGAGAAAACTTTCAATTTAGCTTGGCCAACTTCGAGTCCTGCAGTCGTATGGTAGAGATGAAAAAGTTCTTTGTTCAATTATAATTTCTAGTCGGCCTTGTATTGGGCAATCAGTGCAGTGTTATGGTTTTTTGTTAAAAACGTGTTGCGCGCTTCGTCCTTGCACACCGCGTGTGTTTCACTAGTGCGGGAATAAAGGCAACCTATATAAGCTTTAGTTAGCATAGTTCGACTTTTTAATAAGATTTCATGTCCACAAATAAGAACATGAAAGTTTTTCGTGACTTTGTGCGTACGGGAGGGGAATGAACGTAGACAGTTCTGCCGCATTGATATTCTTGGGCGTGGTGAGTGGACTTCACGTCAAAAAAAAGGCAAGTCGACTCCACGTCAAAGTAAAAAAAAAAAACAGAAATTGGGCTCGACGTAAAAAAATATAACTCAGTACTCACTGCAGTGAGTGACAAAGAGCGCATTTTCTCGTCGACGAAAACTTGAGGTCACGGACGGACATGGCGAGCACAAAAGTGCATTTTTTCCATAAATGAGAAAATGCGCTAAAAATGGGAAGTGGACTCCACGTCGATGAAAAACGACGGTGGTTACACACACTCTGTAATAACTTGATCGGGTTCTTCACCAAGGCAGTTTATAAAGAGTTTTCGTCGGAGTATTAATGAAGACTTGTTCCCACAAGCATTTATTCAAATAAAGTTTATTTACAGCACAGTTGAATAATAGGTTGAAATTGGCATACGGGACACGCATCTGAATAGGCAGGAGGCTAACTAACCCGTCGCACACACTACCACCTTCGAGGTAACCTTCGGTCTTGACACTACATTATGGAAAACCCGCTATTTTGTTAGAAATAGTCCTTACACACTCCAAGTGATCTGAAAAACTGACAGTGTTGGCATGAACGCCCACAAGGCCTTGGGTTTAGATTTTTGGAGCTCAGTTCCAGTATACGAAATTCATGTCGCGGTTTCATATTTTGGTTTTGTCTTACATAAATTTAAGCGCTACTGGCCTCATATTGTGATCCAAATACTATTTTACTAGAAAATTTTTGCATGGTATTCTATATCCAACGAAGTATTATTAATTGATAATGGTGTCATTATTATTATTATACTAATTTGTTTTCGAAAATGGATCGATTGGAAAATCCTTGTGTACTTCCGGAGTGGGATACCTACAAACCATGTCAGAAGCAAGATGCTCCAATATTTTAATAAACTGTTTCAAGTTCGCAGAAATACTTTTCAGCAGAAAGTACGCAATAGAAGTGCAATAAAATGAATAGATCAAGACAGATTTGACTCAAAATATACAGCGGCAAACGAATCTCCAAGCCGGTTATCAACTGAGTCTCGCAGTCACGTTATAACTCTAGTGACCGTTGTGTCTTTCGATGATGAATAAGAAATATTCACCGTAGATTACGAGTCTTTTTTTTTTTTTGTCGAAAGCATCGCTCATACCATATGAGTCGGTTGACCCGTTTTGCAAAGAAACGTTATGCAGATCTGAATAATACTATCACTAAGGCGCTATAATATTCAGAAATTTACGAAACTGAGGCATTGGATATTTTCAGCGATATTTCACTATGTTGGCGACATGGTTGTTTAGTGACAGGCAAGGTAAAATCTGATTGTCAGCGTATCGAGCAAGAAAACGTCGACGACTGCGTTATCTCATTGTCCAAGAAGGTCTCCGAGAGAATGGATAGTAGTGTTTTTTTTTTATTCGGAGAGAATCGTAGAAGTGCTAGAGAAATTTATTTTGGAATGCATCTTCATTTGAAAATTCCTGATTAAATCCAGTCTGCATCATCAAGTTGTAGTATCCCAAAATAGGAGCAACTCAAGTTAACTTTTATTTAAGGTTATTATATATTACATTAGATTACTACATTATCTTAATTATTCATTAGATTACGCCCTCCTCTTGTTTGAAGGCCACATTGTGTTCTGGAGCGTCGTGAACAACGCGGGCATCGGCCAATACGGCGACTTCGAGTTCCTGTCCACCTCGCAGTTCAGGAGAACATTCGAGGTGAACTCCCTGGGGCCCGTTATGATCACGAAGAAGTTCCTGCCCCTGCTGCGGGAGGCCGGCGAGGGCAGGGTGGTCAACGTTGCGTCTTTGGGGGGTGTGGTACCGGTACCCAGCTGAGTTATGATTTAACTAACTTAAAATGTTAATTGAAGGAGGCATGAAGTTAAGTAACTAAAATCCATTGTTCTTTGCGACTATTAATTCTACGAATTTCATGCGGACGCGCCTCGTCTACCGTTGTTCATGCAGGCATCATCGCCCACTGCATGAGCAAGCACTCTTTGGTGACGCTCAAGGGCGGGCGAGACGCTGCGAGGTGCGGCCCTGCAATACCTCAATGCATTCTATTGTGCCTGGCTTCTGCAGGTAATATGATCACAGTACAACAACTGAGGTATTCATAGCCGTCTTCTCATTTCGAACTTTAGAAATGAGGAGTCATTTCGAACTTTAGAAATGAGGAGTCGAAATGTTTAAGTTGCCCCCAGAGTTTTAAAACAAAGATTATTTTAGACCGGTACAACTCTAGATCAGGCTAAGCAAGGTTCTTCATAGTAAGTATTTAATAGTGAGAAGAGCATTGGCTCCTCTGAAATGTGCAGCTAATTACTTGAAAATAACTGTATGGTGTGAATCTATGTTAAAATAGAAAAGTTTTAAGATAAAATAATATTATATGTGATAAAATCTTTCAACTTTCAGTAATTTTTACAGATCGAATAAACTAAAAATTTACTCGTTTTGAATGAAAATTTAATTGATTCTGCTGTGACACTAATTTTACATTAAGCTACTTAATTATCTTTAGATTGTCCTTTATTTGAATTCATTATTTATTGAAGAAAGAACAAAATTTGTTTATGTCGAAGATTGTCTATGCTGTACTCGCTATAATGAATTAAAGATGCTTAATTATTTAATGATATATTTAATGATGCATGTATATCAAACATTAAGATTTGGGACCTTCCGTTATGTTCAACATAGGATAATAATTTGATATCGCCAATAATTATCATTTCAGATTAATTTGCTCATGAAATAATAGAATTTACATCTGTTTAAATAATACTAATTTTCAATTTGTTTCGCGGGTTTGAATTTTTCATGATTGTAAATGCAAAACTTTATGAAATCTGAGTTTCTTATCAGAGTGAAAATTTATTACGCCTGTTATTTAGAATAAAGGAAAACTATTTGAGGTGGCAAATCTGAGAAGTTGGCATATTTTCCTGATCTTTGCGAACACGTATTTTTGTATGCTTTATATCTCTGTTTGCCGGGCCAACATTAACTGCATTTCGCAAAAAAAAACAGTAATAAAAAATTTACAAATTTTCTAAAACCATTTTGGATACATTAGCTGTTGATGAACTCTAATACATTAAGTACCTAATGACTTTGTACGTACACTAACGTGGTTACTAAACTTCCCAGAACAACTTTGGAGTTTATACACTTTACCAATGTCAAAGATATTAAATCATAGGATGTCAAATTCTTTTTTATTTAATTGAAGCTGGAATAAGATTAATGTTTTAGCATGAATTTGATAAGAAAACATCAAATTTCATCCAAATTTTACCAAAATACCTAAAAATTTTATTTGCAAGGCTAAAAACAAGAAGCTCACTGACGAGGCAAAAACATTTAACCAAAATTCATTTAAAATAGTTATAATCTAGTCAAAATTCTTTTTCATAACGTCTGTCATAGATGGATAACAATAAGAGAGATATTTACAGTTTCCAGTCAGTTTACAGTCTTGTTATTGGATTCTTATTCACGATGCAATAACGGCAAGCGCTGTATGTCGGGTTTTCAAACCACGTGTTTGTGATGGACGAGGATGGCTGAAGCCAACTGGAGCATTTGAAACTATAATAACAACACTGCGTAATTAGTTACTGCGATATTTTTAAAATACGCAATAAAGCAGGTATTAATAGATATAAACATATTAATACAATAAGAACACCTTTAATAGAGTTGATATTTTTCAAATAATGATTATTGAATAATGACGTAATCATCCCAAAACTTCATCCCGATTGCTGCAATTCTAGCAGGTGCGCTACATGCCGCACTGGTTGACGAAGCTGTCCTGCTTCCTGTGTTGTGTTTGTCCCTCTGAGCTCGTCGACTACATGGCTTGTCCTCCGCTCACAGTGAAGCCCTGATGTGCCTAGACACGTCCACAGTGAAGCCCGGATGCGCCTAGACACGTTCACAGTGAAGCCGGGATGTGCCTAGACACGTTCACAGTGAAACCCGGATGCGCCTAGACACGTTCACAGTGAAGCCCTGATGTGCCTAGACACGTTCACAGTGAAGCCCGGATGCGCCTAGACACGTTCAGAGTGAAGCCCGGATGCGTCTAGGCACGTTCACAATGAAGCTGGGATACGTTTTATTTGAAGCCAAAATGCGCCTAGGTTCGTACACATGCGAATCTGAGATGCGACTCGACATGACAACTGACGCAGTGTACTGAGTGAAATAGTGAATGTACTCGTAGTGCACTGAGCGATACACTGCATGCACTGCACACTGTAGGGAATAGGCGCAGTCTGCAGTTCACAGCACAATTAAGCAGCTTATGACCTTATGATGAGTTTAGGACTTCGTAGTCCAAGGTCAAGCTGATGCTGCGCCTTCGTCGTCCTCCGTCTCCGAGTCGTCGCTAGGCAGGTCACCCCGGCCTCGGATCCCGGATGGAACGTTGGACGTATTCCGTCTGTTTGCCCTCCTATGGGCCAGCTGATGCAAGATGCTGTTGCTTGTCACTTGCTGAGAGTAGTTTCCCCCTACTGGACAATCCGGGATCTTCTTCAGAAACTTATCCAGTTGCCTCTTGAAAGTCGCAAGGGTAAACTCCCCTCCTCTCAGCACCTTTGGTAAGGCGTTAAACAGCCTTGATCCTACCACGGATAGTGATCCCTCTCGTAGAGTCTGTACTCTGGCCGCGGCTCGGTTATTGAATGGGGGAATCCTGCAGTCTGCCCCTCCTTTCGTTTTCACAGTCTGCCTGCACAGTCAGCCAGTCCGGTTTTCATCTTCCAAGTGTAGGGTATGATATACCTCTCTCTTCTCCTCTCCAGTGAGTACATGCAGTCCCAGGCATTTCAGCCTTTCCCAGTAGTTCAGGTCCAGCTCCATCCTGCCGCTGATGCGGCATGAGGGACCGCATCAGCGCACCGCACCCTCCTTGAGCGGCGCCCAAAGCTGACAGCAGTATTAAAGATTGGGGAGCACTAGGGCTCAGAAGAGTGTAATCATTGGTGCTGCTTCTCTTATTCGAAATGTCCGCCAGATCCACCCCATCCTTCGTCTCCCTCGCGCAACTATTTCCTCGATGTGGTCATCGAACGTGGCTTCAGTACACATCAACACTCCGAGACCTCGAACTAGTTGCTTCTTTTCAATTTCTGTGTCATCCGATGCGAAGTAGCGACGTGGAATCCCCATCTCTGTGCCAACTCTGTATCTCATTACTTCGAACTTTGTGCCGTTGAATTGCATGTTATTCGCTAGGGCCCAATCATAGATTGTCGACAAGTCGTCCTGTAACCTCTCGCAGTGTGATGTCCTCTGTGATCTTCATCAGCACTCTTGTATCGTTCGCAAATGACGATGTAGATGCGTGGGTAAGTTCTGAGTCGATATCGGCGATGTGGAAGATGAAGAGGATCGGTCCAAGCACCGAGCCCTGTAGCACTCCGCTTTTCACTCTCGCTTCTCTCGATCTTGAGTTTCCAATTGCGACAGCTACTAGTCAATTTGTGAGGAAGTTGTGGATCCACTCTAACAAGTTCCCTCACAGTGAACGTTGAGCTGCTAGAGTCACCAAAAAAGAGAGTTCCTAAATTGTGTTCAAGATGTTTGAAATTTCTTCTAAAATAATTACCAGTATTTTCTATCCAAACGAACAGGCATCATCTCAGAATGTTCAAAAAGAATTTTTAATTTGTTCCATTTTTCGATTGTGCTCGTCATGAATGAAAATTACGATAGAGGCGGCAAACTATTAATGAACGTAAATTTTATCGAACTAATGAATTATGTATAATGATAATTGTAAGAAAGTAAGTGGGAAAAAACGATATTTTACAGTTTCTCCCATGCAAGGGTTGCTGCTTAAGTGCTCAGCTGATCTGACTAGATGTTTCTGATGCCCAGTGGCACTGTGGTCATTGCGCATCGTTGAATTTTAAAGCTACATGTTTCTGTGATCAAAAATAAAAATTAGATTTTGTTTTCTGTGCGTATGCAAATTAACATCTTTCAGGCTTTCGTCATCCAGCCATGTAGGGATTGAAGCAGAACTGGCTGCATGATTTATCCCTAAGTGTGAATTTCATACATTTTTTGCTGTCGTTGATACATTTTGTAGCCACTTGAAAATGCATTTTATTCTTTAAAAAGTTGTCACTGGCTCTAGTAGCGTGAGACTAGACCTTGTCACATAAGTGGCATGCAGTCGTCGCTTGGAGTTTCCCGAGAGAGGTGCGTGGTCCATAAAAAATTCAACTTCACGGCCATTTTTTCAATGAAATAACTAGAGCCTGTGGTTGTCGTCCGTTTTCGTTTTTTGTTAGTTTTTGTGTTGTCGTCCGATTAGTTTGTGTGAAGAACGAGCTCAAAAGAAGCGGCCCAACGATGCAATACAAAACCAAGTTTCGGCGAGTCTAAGCAGGAGCCTTTGTTTTCTAGAAATTGACGTGCCGTGGCTGACCTTGGGCCTGGAGGCATACGAGCCCTGCTACCTCGAAGAACTCAACATTCTGGCCAAACTGATGTGATTATTATAAATATTTTATGCTATGGTACGACTAAGTAGGCATCTTGATATTTAGATTTCAACGAATGATTACTTCCATAACCTCTTGCAGGTTTCAGGTGAAGTTAATTCAAACAAAGGAATATCATCTACTCATTTGACATGATCACATTTGATGGACAATTTCAAGTCTTTCCATTGTTTGTCATTCGTGTGACAGTGATTTAGAAACGTCGAATTTTTTAAAGTTGCAAATTTGTTTTGCAACTCTATCATTTGCAATCATTTAAATATCAAAATTGCAACTTTGATATTTAGAAAATATATTTTAAAAAATGATTTATTATCAATTTAAGGTTTAACGAAGTAAATTAAACGAAGTAAATTAAACGAAGTAAATTAAACGAAGTTGACTTACAATAATTATACGTTTGAAAAATGCAATGAGAATAGCTGGAATATTTGCATGGTAAATATTCCGAAATCAATTGAAGAATTGTATTATAACTGCAATTATTGGTTTACTTCAGTAGATGTTGCTCGGTAATGATGTTTATGTTGAGGACAGGAGTGCAACGGTAATTAACGAACCGAATTGTAAATAAAAGTTAAGAGCATTTAAGGAAATTTCTTGTGAAAATATGGTTTTTATATGAGAACAGAGAACACGGAACGCATTTTGTCTTCATGCAATTGGTGCCTTAAGTTGCATTAACTGAACCCTCATACAGTCACTGCATTCGTTCTACGTCTTCAGCGCCGATAATAGTGAAAAGTTTTTTGGCTTGTGCCTCCAGTGTCTGTCGACTGCGTTCACAATAAAAGGATAAATTTTGACCTTTTGATGCAAAATTTATTTTTTACACCTTTCGTAAACATTACAGTAGTTTAAAAAATCATCATAGGAAAATTTATTCTTCCTACGTAGTTGAATATTATATCAATACGTTCAAAACTGTAATGTTTGGCATTTACAAGCTTCTCGCTTGACCGGTTTCAGCGCTCAGCGCAGCAAAAATTCAATTTTTTGCTTGTGTATCGAGCCACTTTTTTGATGTGTAAAAAGTGCGCCCAAGGCGCCATAATCAGCAGGACAAGCGAGGCCGAGCAGACCAAGTTCCATAGATACATTTATGCAATCTCATCAGCTCTTAGTCTTTGAGGTCTTAGTTTCTTGATGACTAATGGTTCACACTTATTAATGTTCCCTAAAATGAACGAGAACGCTGAATCATTATGCTGTTGATTGAATTCAACCTTGCTAAAAATACTCATACTCATTCAAGGTCTGGCCTGAAGCAAATATACATTGCCGGTACTGGCAGTATATAGGATGGAACTGTGGGGCAAGCTACATATTAGTTCTTCTACTGCTGCTTCATCGATATTATCATTTTTTGCAGAGAGTATTCAATGCCTCCTCGGAGCGTTCGAAATGTGTGCATCTAACAAAACCGGAACCGGAATATAATTAATAGTGTATTTACCTCAATATTTATTGAAATAGAAACCTGACACAAAATAACATTTGAGGGTTGAACCTATAGCATAGGTTCTGCATGGTTGGCAAGAACTGCTGACCGCGCACACTCCCAGTCGTTGACGACTGTTAAGCTGTAGGAGTACGACAGAAATTTAATCATAGTTATACATTCGATACAGTTATAGGCTATAGCTACAGTTAGAAGTTTATAGTCATAATTATAAGGCTGGGTTATAGTTAGAAGTTTTGTAGTTATATGTAGTTATAAGTTCGTAATAGTTATAAGTTATAGAAGTCATAATGCGGATGATACCGTTATTTTACGGATTGACAGGACAGCAGCTCGCACCCCTCGATTACGGGCCCAGAGCTTCATGACAATTCACAAAGCTCACCTTCATGACCAAGGGCGCACGTCAATGCCTGGGTAAGTCCCGCGCTCGTGCATGTTGGGCGACAGACGTCAGGCAAGGGTGACAGACGTCAGGCAAGGGTGACAGACGTCAGGCAAGGGCGACAGACGTCAGGCAGGGTAAGTCCCGCGCTCGTGCATGTTGGGCGACAGACGTCAGGCAAGGGTGACAGACGTCAGGCAAGGGTGACAGACGTCAGGCAAGGGCGACAAACGTCAGGCAAGGGTGACAGACGTCAGGCAAGGGCGACAGACGTCAGGCAAGGGTGACAGACATCAGGCAAGGGCGACAGACGTCAGGCAAGAGCGACAGACATCAGGCAAGGGTGACAGACATCAGGCAAGGGTGACAGACATCAGGCAAGGGTGACAGACATCAGGCAAGGGTGAGACATCAGGCAAGGGCGACAGACGTCAGGCAAGGGTGACATACGTTAGGCAAGGGCGACAAACGTCAGGCAAGGGTGACAGACGTCAGGCAAGGGTGACTGTCGTCAGGCAAGGGCCACAGACATCAGGCAAGGGTGACAGACGTCAGGCAAGGGTGACAGACGTCAGGCAGAGGTGACAGACGTCAGGCAAGGGTGACAAACGTCAGGCAAGGATGACAGATATCAGGCAAGGGTGACAGACGTCATGCAAGGGCGACAGACGTCAGGCAAGGGTCACAGTCGTCAGGCAAGGGCGACAGACGTCAGGCAAGGGTCAGTCGTCAGGCAAGGTTGACAGACGTCAGGCAAGGGTGACAGACGTCAGGCAAGGGTGACAGACGTCAGGCAAGGGTGACAGACGTCAGGCAAGGGTCACAGTCGTCAGGCAAGGGCGACAGACGTCAGGCAAGGGTCAGTCGTCAGGCAAGGTTGACAGACATCAGGCAAGAGTGACAGACGTCAGGCAAGAGTGACAGACGTCAGGCAAGGGCGACAGACGTCGGGCAAGGGTGACAGACGTCAGACAAGGGCGAAAGACGCCAGGCAAGGGCGACAGACGTCAGGCAAGGGTGACAGACGTCAGGCAAGGGCGACAGAGGTCAGGCAAGGGTGACAGACGTCAGGCAAGGGTGACAGACGTCAGGCAAGGCGACATACGTCAGGCAAGGGCGAAAGACGTCAGGCAAGGGCGACAGACGTCAGGCAAGGGTGACAGACGTCAGGCAAGGGCGACAGACGTCAGGCAAGGGTGACAGACGTCAGGCAAGGGTGACAGACGTCAGGCAAGGGCGACAGACGTCAGGCAAGGGTGACAGACGTCAGGCAAGGGTGACAGACGTCAGGCAAGGGCGAAAGACGTCAGGCAAGGGTGACAGACGTCAGGCAAGGGTGACAGACGTCAGGCAAGGGCGACAGACGTCAGCCAAGGGTGACAGACGTCAGGCAAGTGCGACAGACGTCAGGCAAGGGTGACAGACGTCAGGCAAGGGTGACAGACGTCAGGCAAGGATGGCAGACGTCAGGCAAGGATGACAGACGTCAGGCAAGGGTGACAGACGTCAGGCAAGGGTGACAGACGTCAGGCAAGGGTGACAGACGTCAGGCAAGTGCGACAGACGTCAGGCAAGGGTGACAGAAGTCAGGCAAGGGTGACAGACGTCAGGCAAGGATGGCAGACGTCAGGCAAAGTAAGTTGTTGCTAATTTGGTGCTACTCAAAATGGATGGTTGAATTTTTATGGAGCGGCTGCATAAAATGATTGTAAAAAAGTTATCATTATACGTGAACAGGTTGTTCTCGAATATGAAGGGAGACTATATGAATTGTCACGACGTAAGCACGTGATCAAGGATGCATGGTGCTGCTACATCCAAATTACTGAGTATCCACGTCAATATCCGTAACAACCATACATGCTTACCTAACATAAATCAGTATTCACATCTAATTATCGTTTTATATTCACTTAGACTAAGATTCTAGATATACGGAAGTTAGCAAAGCCGTGACAAGTTAGGCCGACTTCAGCAATACAAACGAAGGCGCGACCGGCTGAAGTCGGCTACGTCGCTGTATGTGGTCACGCCTCTTGCATAAACATTGGTTGCATCGTTTTAGACAGCGTCGCAGTTAATCGACCATGATTTCTAATAATTAATATATTGATCTTAATGATGACGATTCAATAACATGAATGCATTTTGCAGTAAGTTGGCCGATAACTGCACTAATCAACTAATAAAATGCGAATTTTTACTTCAGTTTACCTTAGTCTAAATAAGGAGAATTGCTGTGCCATTAGAATTTCCTGTAAAAAGATTAATTTTACTTAAACAAGCATGAACCTATAAAAGTTTGCTGGAGCTGAAATTTTTTGAAACTAATTAATAAGTGACGACTCCGATCTCCATTCAGGATAGCCAAATATTTCTGAATCGCCGAAAGATACATTCGTACACAGTGATAAGTGTAACACTGTTTTTCGCTATCGCAAGCCTTTGAGTTTTTTTATCGTTTCTTCTCCAGTCCAGCATGGCATTATCGTTCGTCATAAACTCGTTGTACACATACAGCAAAGTAGGTGTCGTGATCGCCGTTATTATTTGGTTGTTTGGCGATGTTTGTGTCAGCGTCGCACACTTGGTCGTCGTGGGCCTCGGTTGGGGCTGCGTGTTGTTCGCTGCACTGCACCTGCTGCTGGGCAGCGCCCTCTACAGGAGGCAGCGCCACGTCTCCAACATGCACAAGAAGGCCGTCCTCGTGACAGGTTGGTGCCGAGAGAAAACGTATTTAAAGCTAAGCAGAACCAAGAAAATTTTGAATTTTGACTCCTGATTTGGAACGCATATCGGGATATTCTAAATCGGTTGATTGATTATACGCAGGAAGATCATGGATTTTCTTTTCAGTAGTTAAATGCAAATATTCGGTCAGACATTACTGCTGACAAATGGAATATTATCAACGTAACAACTGTATTTGATAGAGAAAATGGGGCGTCGTTCCACCCACACTAATTCAAGAAATTCAATTTCTATTGGTAGGGAAGCTGTGCATAATATCAAGACTTTACAAAATAATTATCATCAAAGAATATATCAGGAAAGTGAAAAAAAGGTAAGTAACGAATTGTGTGTCGTTTGGAGTTTGACTTCGAATTCGAGATTCCGAAAAATAGGATAATCAATCATTGAGAATCAATGTATGAGAATCAAAGTATAAGAATTGAATTTAATTTCGATGGATTTTGCCAGCCCGAATTTCATAGATCTCGAATCTTTGAACGCCTTTCATTATTAACTTTTTTCATTAAAAACCGTTACGACACACAACTTTTATTTCCTTTCAGAAATTTTTGTTGTAATAAATAGCATTATTTGCAGATTTCGTGGTCGTGTATAAATTTTCTACTTAAAATTAATAGGAATTATTTTAAGGAATTAGGTTAAATTCATGTGTTCCTTCTGAATAAGTCCATCGGTTATAAGTTTTTAAATCCTGAGGTTAGGCATAATTTTGCGGTTACATGTCTCAGGTTGTGATTCCGGCTTTGGCAACCGCCTGGCTCGACGCCTGGCTCATATGGGCTTCAGAGTGAGTTACAAGGTCCGATTTATCTAGAAACAATCAAGCAAGTTTAAAAATACTGAATTTCTTATGGGTTCATGGGCCACGTCTTCTGTTTTGTTGTTATGCTCGTCTAGCAGCCACCGAACTCGAGCAATACTGCTTAAGTCGCATGTGTTTGTTTTTAATTTTTAAGCTCTCTTCAACCATAAAACCCAAGGCATATAACTTCGTTCAAATAAATATTTGGGTGGAAGTGTGGCTTTAGGTTTATCTCCAACAGGAAAATTAACGCATTTATAACTACGCTCGAGTAAATGTTTGGGAAGAAGCGTGTTATCAAGTTCCCTTCTTGCGGAAAACTATTCACCTATAACACCCTCATATTCAGTTCGGACCAGGAGGTGTGCTCGAGTTTTCCTACCATATTCAAAGTCTAAACGATAATGCCTTGATAAATATCGCCTTGGACTCAAGTTTAATTTAAATTTTTAAAATCAGTTGAAGAGGTATTACAATGCCATGGTGGAATAGGCTATACGACCACCCGTTTTTTTCTGGATATTTTTTCTTGCATGAAAAGTATAGGATTCCGATTATACGAGGCTAGACTACGTTTAAAAACGGTTCCAACGCTATACTAAAAATATATATATTTTTCAAAATATATGCGAAGGAACTAAAACCTAGGTAGAAATGGTTAAAGACCAAGATAAAGGTTTTCCGTTTTTGGATCCCATATATACTCGTTTTAATAGGCAATCTTACCTCCTTTCGCCTTAATTACCTCAATGCATCTTCCCCCCATGCGATTTACCAAATAATCCAGAGTCTTTTGAGAAATATTATCCCAAGAACGAAGGATAGCCGTGCTCAGGTCACTCACAGATTGGAACTGGCGCTCATTTTGGTAAACATCCCTCGCCATGATGCCCTATGCATGGATTTTCAATGGGGTTTAGGTCAGGGCTAAGCACTGGCCAATGCAACAGGGTAATATTCTGCTATTGGAATCACTTGTTTGCTCGAATCATTGTCTTGATGGAAAACCTATGATATCTCATGTTTCTCAACGGCAAAAGGGAGAATATGATGAAATAGCGGGTGCTTGTGTGCCCCTGAATCTTGTCTCCCACGTAAAATAGCTAGAATTGATTTTCTCTTTCGGCTGAACACCCCCCCAACAATGACCGAACCAACACCAGATTGCAACTTGGAAAATTATTCAGGTTCACGGTCCAAGTGGTGCCAATAGCATTGCCATCCATTTGGACCATCAAGATTGAACTTTTTTTATCACTGAAGATTGTCCCTCTCCGATATGCACATTTTTTCAAGCTAGTTTTAGTAGGTTGATAACATGCTTTTGTTTAAGCATACGGGCATTTTTCCGCTTCATGTACTTGAATTTCTTCGAGTCATGCAAATCTGACTGATGCGTCGTGCTGCCACATCAACTCCAGGGGAAAATTTTATAGAAGTAGATGTAGCGCCAGCTTTAGAAGCCTTTAAAAACAGTCGCCTAAGATCCTTGTCGGTTAATTTTGGGATTGTTCCTGGGTGCATTTTTGATCCGTAGCCGTCCGGATTAGCAAAAAAAAAAATGGTTGTACAGCGGATTTCAAACGTTTTATTTTCTTTGCGATGTCCCGTTGGCTTCTACCGCATTTCGCAAAGGCCAAAATCTGCACCTTCTCGGCCTCTGTGAGTCCTATCCCCTTTGGCATCTCTTTTACTCCGAGAACATATAAATGAGGACACTGAACTGCGCTAGAAGTAAACCAGAAGTACACAAGAAGTACCCTAAATGGCGAAAATCGGGATATTCTTTGTGTTACTATACTTTTTAACGTGAAAATATTATAGAAAGATACTAAAATGAAGAAAAACCCATCATGGTCTTATAACCATTTCCACCTAGGTATTTCTAATTTTCATCATTTCTTCTCATATATTTTGAAAAAAAATTTCAGTATAGCGAACCGATTTTAAACGTAGTTTAGCCTCGTAGAATTGGAATTCAGTATTTTTTTATACAAGAAAAAGTATTCAGAAAAACCGGGTGGTCGTAAAGCCATTTCCGCCACTGTACACATATGTATTTTGGTACAATTTATTCTACAAACATCCTGCTGAGTTTCCATTGATTCAATTTCTTAATGATTGATTCCTCACATTGTAGGAGAATTATTATATATGGGATCTTTAAATCTTAGGTTACACGATTTTCAGGAATGTTTGTTGACGTAGGATTATATATGTGCACATCACTTGTTTGGACAAATTTAATCAGTTTTGATGCACTTCAGTTACGCACAATTATGAGTCATTCTTTACTAGCTGAGATCAAATACAAGGTGATTCACGCAAACTAATTGATTTGAAAGCTCAATAAAAATTAGCAAGGGTAACATTACAACATAAATTTATTGAAAAAAGACATTACCTGAATTTTTGTATCCATTATTTTTGACGGTTTTGTATCAACAAATGACGGCCTACATTGACAATTCATTCAGTTAGTCGATTTTTGAAGTTCCGTTTAAATCGCTGATGCATATTGACGGATATGTTGGCGATGGCTAGGCGTATGTTGTTCTTCAAATGAGGTAGGATCTTTGGACAGTGATTTTAAATATTTCATTCAAGATAACCCCACAAAAAATCAATTGGAGCCAAATCTCGGGCCGGCCAAAGGTCAACTTTCAAGGAAATGAGGCTATAGCGGTAGATTGTTCTGCACCGCTATAAGCAAGGTCTAACGTGACGGGGACTGAGATGAGATTTAAGGAGATAGACGTTTGTGATGAAAGTGTATTTGAGCGTGTACGTAAACTGCATACGGAAGTTGCACCCCAAACGTTGGCGGATAAGGCTGAAGTGATGTGAATTAACGAATTAAGAAAAAGTCTATTTAGGAGTACTTCGGATGGTTTATGAGAGGATTGATTGTTTTAGAAAAATTCATTAAAATTTATAGTCGTTTAACTAATTTGAACATGCATGGATGTCCTTACTAGGCGTTCTGCAAAATTTAGTCCCAGATAGACAACTCTATAAAACGGCCACTGCTCACTTTTCCAATGCATAGTGGCAACTATCTAGGCGGGACACAAAACTTCATGATCTTACATTTCATATGAAATAGCCCCTGTCCTTTTCCTACAAAATCGGGTTGCTTGGTGCGGAAGTGCGAAATACAGAACAGGAATTTTTGTGAAGCACCCTGTACTTCGGTCTAAACTTAATTTACTCGCCTATGTCAAATCATTGTATAGGTAGCCAAAAGTTAACCGTTTCATGTATAGCCAAATTCATGTGCTCCGCCTCCTCAGGTCTATGCGGGCTGCCTCTTTCCTGACGCAGAAGCTGCCGAAGCTCTGGTGCGGGACACTAACATTCGCGTGCTGAAACTCGACGTGACGAAGCAAGAAGACGTCGACGACTGCGTCTTGAAAGTCCAACAGGATCTCCACGAGAATGGCGAGTGAACAACACATCGGCAGAATAAATCCTATTCTGTAGGTTCACGCAATTTTTCACAGCAAGACGAGTGATTCGGAAAGAATTCTAAGGACCAAAGCAGTATGCGCGTGTAACCGGAAACACCGCCGCGAAGTTGGAATATTTACGGGTAGCGTACCGACTTCGTGTAGACTTTCGTAATGATCCTAAACACAAGGGCTAAAGAGTCGCTCTTTGGTCAGGCTCTAAATTCCCCTGCGTTGGGAAGAGGAGGAATAAACACAAGGAACTTTTCGTAGTATACTGGTAATCTTCAGGCGAATTACAAGGTTCTTCATACGAGGCTCACAAATTATTATTCATCTTAGTCCAAAAGTTCACGGAAAAAAGGCTTGAATTTTCAGGAGTACAAACAGCTGAGAAACCACGCAGTATGAGCCCTAATACACAGCTGAGAATAGCAAAATTGCTAGCAAATGGTACGGGAACTAGCCGCACCGATATGCCAACAACCAGCCGCAGAGACTAGGGGTTCTAGCCCTAATGCACCGCAACGAATACAATACGGACGGCAAATGGTACGGAAACTAACCGCACCGAGATGCCGACGACCAGCCGCAGTGACTAGGGGTTCTAGCCCTAATGCACTGCAAAGTTCCGATCACTCTCGAGCGTGGAAGGTTTTAACTCCCACGACACGAGAGGCTCGAACGGTACCGCAGAAGCTGTACCAGAACGCTGACAAGTATACTCGAGTGTAGAGGTTATTTGTCCCCACAACACCAGAAGTGCTCCGCACGGGAACTAGCCGTACCAGAGTGCTACCAGCAACTGGAACTAACAGAGAACTCCACCTATGCCGTTATTAGTCCGTTAGAGGAGCAAATTAAGAGCTATCTCCTGAACTACGGTGGAGTTTATTCTTTGAAGCCCAGATCTGGCTACTTAAATTAGAGTCGAAACCTGTGCATCCCAACCCAGTAACACTGAGCACACACAACTTTGCCACGTGGGGTAACTCAGCCAAAATGAGCTTACCTCAACACCCCGTTTACAATGTACAAGAAATAGGCTGATATAAACGTCTATATGCATAAAATAGAAAATAATATATATCACAATAAAATAGAATCATAATATAATCCTTTGGTGATATGTGAAAGTTGATATGAGATAGAATAACTCTCGAGGATAATTAACTTGGAAGCGCGTGAGTCGATACCAGTTCGTTAATAGACTAGACAAATGAATATTGGCTAAGCATTATCCAATACAAAGAGAAGTATTATCACCTAATAAAATTATATTAATAAAGAGTTTAACCTTATGACAACATGACTACAAGTTATACTCGACTTCTTATTGAACATCAACCTCCAAGATGTCTAGCTTCCTTACGCAAGATTACGGCGTAGCCGTATTTGCTTTAACGATAGTATCGTAGGTTGACAGCACTGATTCTCGAACAACAGCAAGTCATTACGATTATCACAAAAGAATATTAGTCCTTTGACAAAATAATTGCACATTAAAGTGAATAAATCATAGGTCAAGTAATATTTTACGATTAACATATCATAGAAATAAGTCTAAACGTGTCAGAGATAGCAAGAGGACGCATGGCAGACGATTGCAACGCAACGCTCCAGACAGATATCACAGCAAAGGATATCCCTTGTTTCAGTCACGAAATAAAAATATGCTTACGCATTCCTTAGTCATACAAAATAATATCACAGTAGCGAGATTCCATATTTTAGTCATAAAATATATACAATCACATTGAGTCACTAATGTAACAAAAGAACATCTTCAAAATAACACGTGTTCAAAACGGTGCTATCATATAAAAAAATCACATAACGGCGCTATCATAATAAAAAAATATCACATAATATGCATCCCGTCGCATATGGATGATTGCTCGCATATGGATGATGAACTCGAAAGATTTGAGAAACTTGAGCCTTTAATTATTTTCAAATTCATTGTTGATGTCTATTTTGCGTTATAAATGCTTGTTGTTGTTAATAAGCAATTGTCATAAACTGGATTCGTTCGGCTCAATAAATCGCAAAATAATTCTTTACTGATATCCCATTGATTTCAAGAATGGTTTTCTGAGCTTGATTAATTGTTTTTCACAAGTTTGTAGTATAAAAGCTGGATTGAGATAGCGTAATATATTCTATAATGTATGTAGGTATCTAACTCACATACTCCCATAGGCCCCGTTAATTTGAAATATTTTGAATTTAATTTGAATTTTGGTCATAAAATTTTTGAGCCATTGAATAGTAGAGTATTTCTCCATCGGCACTGAAGAATGAGCAAGTTGGCCTGTCGCCGCTTCCTGTAATGTTCTTGCCTTGTCTCTTGGAAATCTGAGAACTGGCCTTTTGACCACACTCATCCAATACTGACGTTGAAGTATATATCTCGTCATTTTTTCTAAGACGATATGGCGTTCTGGAGCGTCGTGAACAACGCGGGCATCGGCCACTACGGTGACTTCGAGTTCATGTCCACCTCGCAGTTCAGGAGAACATTCGAGGTGAACTCCCTGGGGCCCGTTATGATCACGAAGAAGTTCCTGCCCCTGCTGCGGGAGGCCGGCGAGGGCAGGGTGGTCAACGTTGCATCCATGGCTGGTAAGAAGTGATATTTCTGAAAGCGATGAGTAATCATGGAACCAATAATGTTGCAAATATGTTTAGAATTTCATTGAATATTCGCGCGCAATTGCCAATGTTGTTGCATAAACAATAATTTTCCAGCTAGGGTAGTTGGAATGGAATTATTTAATTCCATGGTATTAGAACTTTCCTTGTTAAATTCAATGGATTTGGTCATGGAATATTATGAAGTTAGTTTGTTTCTTTTTTCGGGACTTGTTTGTCCCAGGCAGAGTCACATTGCCAGGCTTCATCGCCTACTGCATGAGCAAGCACGCTGTGGTGGCGCTCAGCGACGGACTACGCTGCGAGTTGCGGCCCTGGAACATCTCCGTGCACTCTATTGAGCCTGGCTTCTACAGGTGACTTTTATAAGACTCTTGCAAACATTACGGGTCTAACACCAAACCTATTCAGAAGCCAGTCAACATCACCTTAAATCAAAATAAGGTTTTTGTTATACATTAAACATATTGTAAGCACTAAAAAGAATCATATTAGAGTCCCTTAACCCTTTTTAAATTTTAACAGGCAATTTTTTCTCGTTCCCGTTTGTAAAGCTGAATGTCAATGAAGATGGTCAATGTATCAGCAGACAAACAATATAAACTGCTCAAGTCAAAGTACTGCTCGGGAAGGTTCCTGTTCCTAAAAAACAGTATATGTTATGATTTTGTTCAGTTCCTCTGTAATGGATCAAACCCAACCAAAATCTGGATTGAGTTATATTTATCAATATATTCTTCGCTTATGGAAAAAGAAACAACAAAGCATTTTAACAAAACAAACAAAGAATTTTAAACAAAACATTGGGACCAATATAATTATCCATTTTCATATCTTGATCACATTTTTCAGCACTCTATGTCGCAATATGATGGATCAGAGCTAACGTAGTGCAACCATACGTAAATGTTATTTATTTCAATCTACTTCTTGTTTTTATCTCTCAAAATTCGATCTGCAAGCAAGTTTTGTCGTTTCATAACACAAAGTCTGTTGTTTTCTCTGCCAGAACGTCCATAGTTGACAAATTGCTAAACCAAAATGAGAACGAAAAGCTGTGGGAATGCGCCAGCGAGTCGTTGCGATCATCCTATGGAGAAGCTTATGTAAAGAATCGCTTCATTTCCAGTGAAGAATACGTAGCAAAGATCCTTAGAGGGTCGGACCGTATTTGTGAAGTCATCGACGATCTGGTGCATGCTGTAGCGGCACACCAGCCCAAAGTGAGTTATTCATTCTTTATTAAATTATTACAAAAATCTTTAAGTGGAGGGAAATAGTTTGTCTCAGGTGTCAACCAGCCTAAATTATACCTTTTAAAATTAATCTGATTCAATGAATAAAATATGATTGATTTCAGCGTTGCGAGTGGCTAAAAATCAAGTTCCTGCTCTCTGAAAATACCTCGAGGATAAGCACTTACCACAGAATTCAAAACGATGTTATTAATGTGTCTTCACAATTCAGAATATTTCATTTGCATCTTGTGTTATGTTTGCAGGCGCGCTACATGCCGCACTGGTTGACGAAGCTGTCCTACTTCTTGTGTTGTGTTTGTCCCTCCGAGCTCGTCGACTTCATGGCTTGTCCTCCGCTCACAGTGAAGCCCGGATGTGCCTAGACACGATCACAGTGAAGCCGGGATTTGCTTAGACACGTTCAAAGAGGAGCCAGGATGTGCCTAGACACGATCACAGTGAAGCCGGGATGTGCCTAGACACGTTCAAAGAGGAGCCAGAATGTGCTTTAGACACGTTCACAGTGAAGCCGGGATGTGCCTATAGACACGATCACAGTGAAGCCGGGATGTGCATTGACAAGTTTACCGGGGAACCGGAATGCACCTAGACACGTTCACAGTGAAGCCGGGATGCTCATAGATACGTTCACAGTAAAGTCGAGTGCACCTAGGCACGTTCTTTTATATTGCACAATAGAATAGATATTATACACAGTAATAAAACTGCATGTAGTGCATATTCCCGTCAGCTGCATGCAGGGAGAAGTGCGAGCTCATTGCTGGCATGGAGTAAATAAAGTGCAGACGCCTTGGCGCGGTCTACAATTAAGGTGAGCGGATAAAAGCAGTCCACACATTTTTTGCTCATGAATTAATAATTAAAGACATGAATTAGACAGCGCAAGAACTTGCATGCAGTGCTCTTGCGAGCTCCGGGTGAGATGCAATCACGTCACCAGGAACTTATTTTCGTACTCACATGCACGGTCAACTGCATGCAGTCCTCTTGTTTGTCGTGTACACTTGATTTAACGTCTACATGTAAGCTGCTGTTTTTCGAGTACGCTTGATTTAACGTCTACATGTAAGCTGCTGTTTTTCGTGTACGCTTGATTTGACGTCTATATGTAAGCTGCTGTTTTTCGTGTACACTTGATTTGACGTCTATATGTAAGCTGCTGTTTTTCGTGTACACTTGATTTGACGTCTATATGTATGCTGGACCATGTAATTTTTTTTATTTTTATAGAAATTTCGATATTAAAAGTGGTTGCAACGAGGCTCGCTTGATTTTTTCTTTGCCTTTTAGTTCGATGGATGCAGTCTCGTCATTAATTTAAAATCATTCAAAGTTAAAAAGTGGTTAATACATCACTACCTAAATTGTCCCCTTTGAACATGTTGAGATTGAATCTGTCTTCGTCCGCAAGCAAGTGTCTGACCTTTGAGGAACAATCCACTTGAAGGACATAAGGATCTGCCCAGTGAGAATCCTTCTGAAGCGTTGTGTACTAACACATCAGTGATGCTGGCAGAATGAAAACATACTGTGTGACACTGGTAACAAACAAATTATTTATTTTGGTTACCAGAGGATTTCTGAGTATTGTTCTTCTAGGTTAGTGAGTGAATTAGCACAAAACAATTGACTCATTAAGTAAACACTTCACGATCGCGAGAGAATTACGTAAAAAGCCTTAATTAATGGCTGCAAAATGTACAGATTACGGACCTATATGATCTTCCGCTGTTACCTTCTGAACTGTATGATATAACAAAAGAAGTGGCAAAATTTGTTTGCATGTTCTGTTCCAACACTTCACGTCCAACGACAATTTATTCCACGAGTAAGAAGTTTAGCTATTCTGTTATACTTGGGATACTGTCCACTACAAAATGAAATGCAAAGCTTTCCAAGCATGTTTATAGTGATCAGCACTGAGGCTCTTTATTGTCCAAAATCTAATATCTCACTGGCTTTTACAAATTTTATCTATTTTACCCATTTCTACTTTCATGGACTTTACTGACGCTCACTCACACTGATCAGCCATTTAATTACGTTAATTTCTTTATCTGAACAACAATGCCAATTTTTTACTCACACAGAGCAACGACATTATTTCAGACGCATCGGAGTTATTTCAGCCCTATTTCATGCCCTAAATTTCTTATACTTGCAAGTGTCGGAGGCGATATAATATCTCTCAAGGCTGAGACACATCGGACTAAGTTTAAGCCAAGTAACTCGTATATTTGTCCATATCACAGCACCCTTAGACCGAGACACCATTTTTCGTTCGTTATCCTTCCAGTCCGGGCACTGCAGTCACAGTATTTCAGCGCTCTGAGTCTGAGTCTGTTGTACTTTTTTTTATTTTTTTATTCTCTTGAGCAACATGTACAACTGAAATGAATCTGAAACTCACCGGAAAATAGCCTCTAGGTTGGGTCTTCCCGCGAGGCTGAGCACTCCGGTCCTTGGGTTGCAGTTCGGAGCAAGCCTTGGCGGAACCGCGCTGCTTCATGGGCATCTAATGCAGCGCGTGCGCAGTCTTCTTTCGATAGTGAGACGCTACGGAGCTTCCGGCTCCTCGTTTTGAAGTTCTCTCTCTCTATTTCTTTAACACATTGACTACGTATTGGTGCATATGCGTACCAAGAAATGTATTTCTCCAGGAGGTAGTGGTACATAATTCAGGTTGCCTAAAATCGGCCAAATCCGATTACAAAAAAGGCCGTTAATTCAATATATACTAGTTTATTTGTAGGTTCCGCTATAAAAATTCCATTTATTTTCTTTTTGCAGTATTTGAAATTTAATTAGGAAGCACCCCTATCATAAATTTTAGCCGGCCAACGCAATTGAGAAAAAGTAAATCACGGAATTTGTACGGAAAAAATGACCGTCAGGCAACCCTGCTTAAAAAAGGTACAAAAAATGAAATAATAGTACAAGATTAAGCAATCGTAGTCAACGTGTTAAGCTACGAACAAGAGTATCTTTGCATACCAAACATTTAATGCGAAACATAACATTGGGTAAAATATTAAATATAAATTGCTGCTCTATTATTCATAAATTAATTTAGATTAGCAAGTTCAAATTTTGATACGCGGAGGAACTACAAAATATCGAACTTTAGATTATTACGTTAACGCCTTATATTTAAATATATCGATGGACAATAGGCAGTATATTTTAATTGGCATTCGGTAATCAATAAATAATCAGAAACTGGTGCGAAATTTGAATTTGTGAGTCGGTTCGAGAATTGCATTCATGATAATAACTGAATTCAAAATTTGATTTTGAGTAGGATAATAGCGTTCAATACACTGCAGTGTTTGTGATTTAAGGAAACGGCCGTTCAAAATAAACTGTGTGTTTATAATATCAGCATTTATTTATTAGTTCTTATTTGTGTTTTCACGAAGAGCCTCATGTTAAAAACTACAATTTTGGAATAGAAGCCTCCAAATGTAAAGAAAATGTTTGTTATTGGAAACCTAAGGCGGAGAGACTGTGAGTCGAAAGGACGTTCATAAGCCATGCATGAAAGTCATGTGATGTATATGTGCTTGGACCAAGTTGGTAACTGTGCAGTGTGAGCCCACATAAGCCCATAAGTGAGCGACAAGTAAATTTTGAGAAATTTTACCAATGTTTAAGAAGAAATGTTGTTCATAAATACAATTAAGTTTCATCAGGCATAAAATTAAACAAGATATTGTATTATATATCTTCTCAATTGAAAGAAAAATTTTTGATTTACGGTCTCGATAAATTCCCACTTCAGCAGTGTAATTAGACAAATATTTTTTGGAAGAATTTATAAGTGCTATTAATAGAAGAATAAGAAGCTTACATAATGAATGCTATTTAATCCATTATACATGTCGTCGTTTTGCTGCCAAAAACATTTATTGAAAAATTTTCCTGGCTGCTCAACTTTCGAGCCCAAAAATCAGCATCTTCGCAATAGTACTCGTAATTGTAAAGTACGCACATGGAAGAAAATCCAACGTTCTTGCAATGATGGATGAACGTAGAACTGTCTTGCAATGCAAAGAAAGTTCAAACATATTAGCTATAATAGACGCAAAGAAAGGAAAACTAAGTCCAATATCTTTGTAATAATATTATTAAGAAGTATGAGATGGACATGAGCAGCAGTCTTAAGGGCAACGGTCAAACCCTACCAGTCCTTGGTTAATGTGTCATGGCCGCACCAGCGAATTTAGATGATGACTTTTTTTATCGAGTTGGGTGCAAAAACGGACTGGATTGTGCAGGAAGATCAATGGATTAGTGATACACCTGATGCTCAAAATTCTTGCAGTATTAATATATAAACACATGACTCTCACTTGATTTTAGGGAAGAATAAAATAGGGTCGAATTAAAAACAAAGGGAAATTGGACAAGACAGCAGGTTTATGATGATATTTACATCGAATTGATAGAACATTATTGTTTTTTAACTTTTTAATGGAGTTAGTCTGTTTATAGCAATACATTCCTTGTCTCAGCACTAACACCCAAGTCAAATAATGGCCACGAGTCTGCATCAAAGAAAGTTGTTTAAAAAATTAATGAATAAATTAAGTAATGTTATTTATTCCGCTCAGCTGCTGCAGTTATACCCACTCAACAATGGTTCGGATCACCGTATGGCAGAACCAGTGGCACTTTCTGGGAGCCTTTAGTGTGATTAGTTTTATTGTGTGGAATCTCAGCTGGAATTTTGTAGTGAGTGCAGCAGCAACAGGCTGTTTTAGTTTGTTACTTGCAGTTTTTTATGTTAAAATTCGCGAAATATTCTTCATCGAGAAGAAGCTCCTCGACAACCTTGAATCCAAGGCTGTCCTCGTTACAGGTGTGTAAAAGTTCTTCAAGTATTTTAAATAACATAGCCAGAAATTGCAATTTTAAAATTACAATTGCTTTGTAATTTTAAAATAGTTATGCATTCCAAGTATTTTCTCGAAAACGTAACAATTTTCGAGTCAGATTACTAACATTTTTTTACCATTCTATAATGGCACCTTGAATGCGCGTAAAATTTGCATGTGTGTGTATGGGTAAAAAATGTCCTACATTCAAAGGGCTCTCACTTTTTCCTGCCATCGAACAAGAAGTAAGCAATTGACTAGGACGCCATCTTGAAGCCATGTAAAGAAACCTTGCCTATATCACGGTCAATCGTTAGAATCATGCATCTCAATGATCAACTTTGGTGAAGTGTGAATGGAATTAGTAATTTAATATCTAATTAATGATTAATAGTTTTTCCTATAGAAAAATAAGTAACGCAATATTACTTGCACGCATAACCCAGTAAGTGGTATTTACATAATACATAAACCTGGCGGCACTTCTCAACTTGTTGCACTACGATAAAAAGTCGCATTGGATAAAGTAATGCTAAATTTGGTACCTTATGTTAAGCATACATATTTGTACTGAATTGAACTAACACAATGTATTTATGTTGTATGTTAAATTTAACTGTAGGCTGTGTCTAATAAATGAAAACTGAAATAAAGTTGTTCCCACAAACAAAATTTATTATTTTGCAAAATTATCCGTCTAGAGTGATACGATAAAATATAACATACAGAACAAATGTCACGGTAAATTTCCAGCTATCCTCTGGTCGAATTAATATAGTGTGTACTTTTTAACTTGTCACTTCCCATTAATTGCGTCTAATAATCTTTGCTTAAATAAGTATAACGTAAAATGTCTGATTTATTAAACATTGGTCTCACACAGAGTCATCATCAGTACTTCAAAGCACCACACTGAAAAAATTGCAATTTCAAAATCATTAAGGTTTTAATCACACAATTTCAAATCTCTTCCTGAATTTCCGCGAATCAAGATAGTGAAAAAGAACTCTACGTACAAGTGCGTGTAGAAATCCTCAGCGGCACCTAAGCCCTATATATTATTTTACTGTACTAACTCGTTTCATTTTACGATAATTTTATGCTTGGCAAAGATGAAAGCGTGACTAATCATACACACGAGGCATGTGTTTTAAGTAAGGACCGTTTTGAAATAAAAAAGTATACCTCAGTACTTACTGCAGTGAGTGACAGAGAGCGCATTTTCTCGTCGATGAAAACTTGAGGTCACGGACGGATGGAAAGACGGACGGACAGACAGGCAGACATGGCGAGCACAATAGTGCATTTTTTCCATAATTGAGAAAATGCGCTAAAAAGACCTGCAAAGATATCGCAATAATTTCATTTTCACATGAAAGCCTGTACCTTAATCTACTTTTCTACATAATTTCCGTGAATATTGAGGCACTTGTCATAACGTGGCACCAATTTTTGAATACCCTAGCTCCTGCTAAAATTCTGCCGCCTGACTTGTCAGGAATAAGAAATTTCAAGCGTTTGCAGCAGAATTTCACCTTCATTTCAGCAGAATTTCACCTCCAAGTCCGGCGGCAGAATTTTATGAGGAGGGTATTCGAAAACTGGTGCCACGTTATGACAAGTGCACGTAAAAATCACATTATTGCGATGTCTTTGCACGTATTTTGTTAATTACAAAACGGTCCTTGCTTAAAAAACATGCCTCGTATATTGATGGGCCAAATAATTGATTGACCATGCAATGAAAATTAAGTTGGTCGGCACAAGAGTAATATTTTTTATTTTCATAAACTATCATTGGCCGGCACATGATTCTGAATACATATTTTTTATCCAGTGCCGTTTGAAATTTGTTCTGTCTAACAAGTTATATCCGTGACCAGCGAATTAATTATACGACTGTATGTATTCAAAGAATAGAACAATCTGAGAGCGTCGAACTAATTCGAACAGATAGAATAATAGAATTCTTTAACTCTTTTCGTAATCATGTGGATTTGACAATATAGACGTAAGGCATTAGAATCCTTTTTCGTAGAAATGATTCAGAAATTTTATTGGCAGCCTACAATTCTTTTATTAAAGTTTTCGATAGATTAAAATAACATTTGTTATTAATGAATAGGAAATACTTTGTTTAAACATAACAAACAAAACTGAACACTTTCTGTCACTGATCAAATCAACACTCGCTCAACTGAAATTTATTTAACTTCAAAATAGTTACTAATGTTTTCGTACAAACTTAGTCGTATAGAGAAGAAACATTTCAAAAGTCAGCTGGCAATAGTGTTGCATCTGCTAAGAAACTTCAATCCTTAATTTTTCCTACCGTCACCTGAAATTTCCACGGCTACTCCACCCTCTCATCAGAACATAAATAAAAACATTCATATATTATATGTGTTCGGTTGTTTGCAAAGGCACTTGAGTGGGGATTGTTGCTAGACGCAAAATACTTCTTTGAAATAAAAATTAAGTGCGCATTGGTACAGCTGCTCTTTTGAGTTGAGATGCAATGTGCAGTGAATGAAAATATTTCATTATCTGGATTGTTCTCTTATATTTACGTGGAGCCTAGAAGGCAAGTGTAATAGTTAATTCGCCAATCATTTCAATGTTTTTGTTGATGCACAAGATTAACTGGCTTGCTTATTTCCATGATATTTTGTCTTGTTTCAGGTTGTGATTCTGGCTTCGGCATCTTGTTTGCACGGCGGCTCGCTGACTTAGGATTGTACGTAAGTGAAGAAGATTGTAAAAAAGCATGTTAGTAATTACTTGATTTAAGGGTATAACGCAATTCTGAAACGCTCTTCTTGGCACTGTTTCGTGGAGCCAAAAATAAACGGATCGTTTTTCACAGCGATAATAGAAATAGTTTTGATTAGTACGACAGGAAAAAGCTATTCATGATAACATATTTTTATGAATAATATGACGGCGAAAAGGAAGAATCCAAGTACGAGTTGTGTTAAGTTCGAAATGCGAATTCAAAAATATGCTTGTAGTGAGATTAAAAGTGGATTTTAACCCTTAAATGTTGAACAAAGAGAATAAATTAGTCGATAATTTCAAATTAATAGTCTCACTAAAGATTGGCATGAATTTGAAGTGGCGACGTAATGAACTATCCGATTACTCTGGTATTTGAGGGTTTTTTGTAATATGCGGGACATAAAACAAACGGCCTGCTGAATTGATCCGGTTGTTATGAACGGGTAAAAGGAGAGAGCACCTACAGCATACAAGACTCATGACGCCGTTTTTCAGGTGGGAGATCTCCAAAAAGTCAGCTTTTAATGAGCATTGATGGTTGACCTGCCCAGCTTATTCATGTTACTTATTGTTTTATTGATTGTTTATTCGTTCATGGCCACGCTGTATTCTGCAATTAATTTTTCGTCTAAAACTAGCCATGTTGCAGGTGTATGCAACTGTGATGTTTCCTGAGAAAGAAAACGCCCTGGAGTTGGCCCAACACAAGAACATCGAAATCGTGAAACTTGACGTGACGAAACAGGACAACATCGACGAGCTTGTCCGGTTTATTTCTGAAGACCTTAAGAAAAATGGTAAGTGATTTAGTCAAATTTTTATTTTTATCTGCCATATAGAAACTCCAGAACTAATGCTGGATAAAACTTGCTTCCAGACTGTGTTGTATCAACAAAATCAAGTTATAACTTTATTCAACCAGAAAGTGTAGGTAACAATAACTTATGAAAACGTGATTCGTGAATGAAAAATACATAAATCCTCAGCTGAGAAACAAATAACAATAAATTCCGCACCCAGGCCGCCAGTTCTGGTGTCTGGTGAACAACGCAGGAGTAGCGTTGTACTCTGACCTAGAGGTGGCAAGCATGGATCATTTCACGAGCACCCTGGACGTGAACACCGTGGGGCCGCTGAGGATGTGCAAGAGCTTCCTACCCCTCCTCAGGGCGGGCGGCCAGGGCAGAATTGTCAATATTGCGTCACAGGCCGGTGAGTAGGAAACACGATGTTGCGATAATCATCGCATCGCTGATCGTCAATGAGAACATAAGTTGACCGATTATTAACTAAATAAGTTTAAATAATACAATAATATAAATAGCAAGTGATATGAGATGGAATGTCACAACACCCGAAAACTCAGCTACTTGTTTTCGGAAGGCTAATACAATCAATGATTGAAGGGAGCAAACATGATTGATAAACACTCAGCAGCTTTTCTCCTTCATTATATATAAACTGGAACATGTTAGACAAGCTACACAGGCCTACTGAAATATCCATGTGACGCAATTAGTCAAGCAGTAAAGTGCCTAATCTTTTGATTGATAACGAGTAGGCAGGTTCACAGTACCGTTCACAACTGCGTACAGCATGAGCAAGGCTGCGCTCATCGCATTCAGCGATGGTCTGAGAAGAGAACTTACGCCATGGAACATAAGCGTCATCACAATAGAGCCATACTTCTACCAGTGAGCAGCGCATGACGTTCATATCAACTTCTTATGATTATTACTTTTGAAAGTTTTCTTGATTTTCACATGAAAATTTTCTAGCTGTAATGGTAATCCACGTGATCCTTTAAAATATTGCAATGCAGAGCGTGTGACTGATGTTGCCTAATTGTTTTAATTTTTATCGCTAAGTAATAAAAATAAAAATTGCAGGGCAGCGATCTCATTACAGTACACAATAAATTTGATTGTGGGTAACTACCTGCGAATGTGGGACTCAGCGCCCGAGGAGGTGAAGGAGGCGCTGGGCGAGCGTTTCAGGGACGCTCGCATCCAAGGTCTTATGGAATTTTGCGTGAAAAACCAAAGGACCGAGGATAAGCTTTACGAAGTTATCGATGATTTGGAACACGCCGTGGCGAGCGTTCGTCCTCAGGTTAGTTTATGATGATTCTTTCTTTTTGAGGTTCTTTACGTTGTAAAAAAAATTATATCCGTAATTAATTATATTATAATTATATATACGTAACTTTCTCAGAATCCGTTTAATTTGAGGTTCTACTCTTAAATGTATGCGGACATAGGAATGTAAAATTAAGCATAGATTTTGTATTACCTTCGTTGTGCTAATTACAGATCAGCTACAACCCGAGCACGCACGCTAAGTTAGTCACGATGCTCTTGAATTGCCTGCCGTTGGAAGTACAAGACTTCCTCCTAACGCCGGTCATCGAAGAAAAGCCCCGGAATATCATCATTTCAAAAATGGAATCTCGTCAGCGCTCGTGAAAATAAACGAGTATCGTGTTTATTTCTTACTTTTTTATCTGTCTATTAAAATTAATCATTGTTGCACGGAAATAATGTTACCTATATCAAACTTTCTGAGATATTCAAAGGAAACTGTGCAATGTTTCTGTGTACGCAAAAGTCACTGAACAGATTGGAAAATCGCTACGCTCATCCCATAACTTGAAATTTATGCTAGAATAAAAATTTGAACTTCGCTTAGTGAATTAAACCAATTTATTCACAAACTCTGTTTCGAAATACAGAAAAAAAATCAGGCTCTTACGTAAATATTGCTCTTATGTACAGTAAAGCTATAGCAAAAAAATTATGATATGTGAAGAAAATGAAAGAGAATTTGTAAAATAACTTGAGTTCAGTATGCAATTTTTGCCGATATATACACATTTTATTCATTTTTGTACAAATTGTTAAAAGAATGGTAACATTTTGTGTCGTTGTTGTTGCAGTGCATTTTCACTGTAAAGTGAAGAAATAATTTCCTACACGTTATTATTGATGATTAAGCAAAAAAAAAATAGCAAAGATTAAGTATGTCGAAATAGGGAAGAAGGAAGATTAAATTAAAAAATTTATCCAACGCATTTCAAGTCTTCCATTTCCAATGTACTGATTTCAAAAGAACTTTACATGGTGAATCGACACCAAAAAATCAAACATTCAATCCAGTTCTTATATTTTGTGTTTCCCCAGTGAATGTTCATTCATAGTTATTTTACTTTGTTTAGTGAGGGCAAATACAAACTACATTTTAATTATAATTAACATGTGTTGCATTGAAAACTCTTTACACTATTTTACCTAAACATGAACTTACGCAAAAACTGCTGAAAATGTTTTTATTGTCATATAACAATGGAACTTTTGCATGAGGAGAACACAGTTACTATTCCCTTTTTATGAAGTATTTTTTAATGAAGGTAAGTATGACCATAAATTTTAAACATTTTATCCTCACACAAAACTGATCCAGAATTCAATGGATTAGCAAGGCAATTAATGTATGGTATCTAATTTCTGACACAAAATTGCTACGAGAGCATTTTGAAAATGAAATTTGCAACAAATTTTGGTCTCATGATCATATAATATAAATACATATATATGTTGCAAAATTATTTGAATTTTAACCAAAATTTATCGGAATTTTATTCTGGTACAAGAAGTACGGTTTAACTTTGTATATTTTTTATGCGAGAAATTTTTGATGAACTGCTCATATCTTAGCAGATTGTGTAACTTTAAAATATTATATTATTTGTATAAATGTTTTATATTATAAGATGGTGTTCATGTATAATCATAGTTTGAATAAAATAAGAAAGTTCTACAAATGACGTTTATTTGTTAGCCTCAATGCCGTCTCCATTTTATGTCAGATCTTGAGTTGCAATGAATTTGAAAGTTAGAAATTTTTCGTGGTTTTATAAGGTGCATGAACTTAAAATGAGGATAAAAATAAGCCGCAGCGATTTAAATACTAATTGAGAGTTTCTAGTGAATGAATTATCTAGTAGATACAATGATTGTGCCAAGGGAGCGCAAGATTTTAACATTTATTTTTGAAAGCTCTATGAGAAAAAGGTAGTTACTGAATCGCACAAAAATTACCAAGACAAATTCTAGGTTAAGCTTTATTTTAAAATCAAATATTGTTCCTTTTCATAAATAAATCGCATAATACAAATAACGTAGATATACAATGGTTATTCCAACATCGATCACTCAACAGCTCCACTCTTTATTTACCTGCCAACCACCATGCACCATCTCCCACAAAGTAGCCCTCCCGAACATGGCGGTGGCGTGGCCAAACAGAAGCAAAATTTTGATTTTTTTTTGTCGTTTGAGCTGCGCTGTACGGTGTACATACTGAGGTATACTGGGTGGTAAAGGGGTTTGCTGTTTAATATTTCAGTTTGTAAGTTTCAGATATGGCATTGAAAATCCACAAATAATGATCAAATAGAAGACCTACATCAATAATACCAACGAGAATCTTCGGAGAAGATTATCGAGAGAATCTTCCTCCAGAATGAGAAGAGAATGATCTTTCTAGATCTTTCTCGAAAATGAGAAGTTGTTCGGTGAGATGGTGGGCTGGTAGAAAATAATTCAACTTTAGATTAATATAACGAAGAATTATGTGCGTAACCTTCATCGAAGCAGACAACATTATTGTAACCAGCTTAATACTTACGCGTTTGTAAGCTTAAGGTTTTATTTAGGCGATAACTTTGGTTAGTTTCAACGCTCGAATTTCCAAAGAATACCACTGTGAAGGTGAAGTTTTGCATTTCTGGGTTGATTTGTTCAATGCTACTATACTATATAAACACAAACTATTAAAGCTCAAGGGAATTATACCACTGCACTGCTTCTCTCCATCTTTTGTTCACTAATATCGGGCTCAAGCCCATCATATTCCTTTTCGGTTAATGCGAAGAGCAATAACCGAACAGAGACCTGAGACTCCCGATTAACAAAACCACATGAAGACCTTCTTCTGTTGATGTTCTCGCAATATTATTTCAAAGCGACAGCACCGGGGCTCTTATGCCTCATTCACATAATAAAATAACTGATGACTTATACTGACCCTTTTGATGACCCGAATCGGCGATCAGACTAATGTATTAATTCGACCGATATCCTTTTTGTTCAAGTGACGGAATCATTCCAATAGTGATTTCTTGAGTTTGATGGATTTTATACGAGATTTTCAAAGAACATGACGGTTTCACACAGCGCTGCTGTAATAAAGAAAAATTGTTAATAAAAAACTTGGAATGTTGACGATCTGATGTATCATACGATTAATGCTTTAAAGAACATCACCAAAGTGTTTGAAATGTACAGTATATGGAAAAATTTAGGAAAAGAAGTATGTGAGGGAAATCAGAGTCATAACATAAATCTAATTTGATCCCATAAATAAAAATATTTAAAATATTCCCGTGAAGTTTGTGTGGGAACTCGTTACTCGTTACCCATACCATCATTTCTCGCCACGTCTTGAAAATAGAATACCAGCATTTATAGAATTACTGTTAACGATCAAAACGAACTGATGCTTCTGACGAAGGAATATTTACTGTAAATAAATAAATAATAAAATAAATATTTATCGAAGAAATATTTTTAAATAGTTACTGTAAATACTTCCTTAGTGGTGTTTCTAGAAGAAATCGTGACATTGTTTTGATTCGGGAGACATACTTTAAGTTCGTTGATCGGTAAAAAACATTCACTGGATTATATCACATAACTCAACCTCTCACTATCTGATGCCGTATTAAATAAACATAACAATACTTGAGCTAAACGATACCCTCGGCTTCGACCTACTCTCGGATCTGTAAAAATGACTCTTATGTCATTTTTGGGCTATATTAAATTATCGTCATTTGTAACTAGTTTAAAATTGATGGAAAAGTCGTACATACGTAGCTAGGTAAATTTGAAAAATAATTGAAATAATTCGGTTACCTGTTGAGCAGGACGTTAGATGATGTACGGCTTAACGGCCTACTGCATGAGCATGCACGCAGTCGTAACTGTAGCCTTCAGCTAATGACGTCTTGTGCATTGTCGAACATCTCTGTACATACAACAGAGCCAGTCAACTGAATTGATAGCTTTTTGCTCATTAGTGAATAAAAATTAAATTTCGTCATATTCGTCCTGACAGCAACATAAAAAACAGCAAATTTTTTATTTTGGAAATTTCAGCTCTCCAAGCGATGAATAAATAACTGATGGATCAATACACCGGGAGATTGCTGTAAGAATGGAGAATGGTATAATCTACCTTCGAAAAGGTAGATCCCATTCAACAACAATCCCATCTTGATTAGAAATATTTATTTAAAAATTATGCAATGATATATTTCAGGATGAATTTTTGTTCTTTTGAGACCATGAGAAAGAATGGCGCTAAGGTGTTCATGGCAGTAGGCACCTGCATGGGGCCAAGGACGCGTACGGCGCAGACTTCTCGGCACAAAGCAGATGCGCGGCGTTCAGGGCGTTCATCGATTCCACCGGTCAGACGCCGGACAAGATTTATGGGGTCGTTGATGTTCTCATAGACGCTGTCTCCTCAGAGGCACCAAAAGTTCGTGATTATAATTATAGCCTGAAAAATATCAGTGGAGAAACTTTTTATTCTGATACGACTACATATTGAGACTGAAGAACTCGTACTCAATTCATTAAATAAAGTCGTAATTCATTTCCCTCTCTTTGACAAAGCTCAAAGCTAAACACAGTGATTGAAGAACACAGAAAATATTCGCTCGAGAACATAGAAACTTGAAATTCATTGCATGATGATTTTAATCCACATAATGCAACATGAATTTTGCCGAAAAATTGCAGCATTATCTCCGCATGGTTCATGCTATCTTATCAACGGCCAGATACAGATCTTGAATGTTTACTAAAAAAGGACCACTCTTTGCTTGTCCACCTTCACCATCGCACGCAGAGTTGCACTTCCCGAACATGGCTCTGATATGGCCAAAGCAGAAGCATTACTGCGCTACTTTCTTCGTTGTCTGGGCTATGCTGTACATGCTGAGCTGCCACTGGGTTGTAAAGGGACTCGCTGTCGGATTTTTTAGTCTGTACGTTGCAGACTTGGCTCTTAAAATACATGAAGAATTCTTCAAAGAAAAGACGTACATCAAAGATACCGAGAAGAAGGCTGTCTTCATTACAGGTGGGCATGTTAAAAGTATTTTTCATCAAAGTAATTACTTCCAGATAATCTGATTTGAAACGAATTTTCAACTGATGATTGACATATATAAACTGATTGAATGTTAAAATGACGCATTATCTGGATTCAACTAGTACTAAACGCGTTTATATATAATCATTTCTATATTTTAGTTAATCCGGAAAAGCTATAATCAATATACCAGTATGAACAATGGATCCTTTTACTTTACGTTCCTTAGATCTATTTGCACGGCTTCTTCTGGCACCAGAATTTCAAACGCTTCGAAGGCAGCCGGTCTCTTTATTGCTTACAGTTAGTTTGTCGAGACGTCAATCCGCGTTTCTAATTATTTGTCATTCTATCCTACCATTGCATTTTTTATCTTTCATATTTTTAGTAGTCCATGACGTAACCACACTGATAACATTTGAAGTCTGCTTGAGTGTTCGATGAGGAAGTTCATAAATTTCGCGTTATCGATGAATTTTTTTTTATTTTGGGAAACAATATATTCAAGAGTACAGAGAGTAAAAACCATTAATTTAATAAATTCGAACAAACCGGAATAGGTCGCCCTTCTTTTTGATGAGGACAAATAAAAGCTTAATAAAACATCGGGATAACTATAATAAACCTAACTTAATTATCGAAAAATTCAGCCTAGAAAAATCATCGATATTAGAGGTTCACAAGATAAATAAACAATTTAAAATTATAAATGAATTAAAACTAGACCTATTTTCGTCTTGGTCTCAATTTTATTTACTATAAACTTTTTTGATAAGACAATGTTTTCACTAACAAATTTTTGAACTGTTAATAAATGTTTTTAATTTATAGATATATACGGCCCGAAGAGCCGACGCGAAGTAGTTGTAGTTCTTAATCGCGTTCCAAATAGAAGGGTTTGAGCTTTCCATTTTAAACACAGCGATAAACATACAATTCAGCTCTATGCATACCATTTAACTGCAGGAAGAATAAAAGAAGACAAAGTCTACTTTATATATATACCAAGAGCTCACCTTGAGACACGGTGCCCGTTGATAGACGGCAGCAATCAGATAAGAGTTCGCATGCAACGAGCCTCATATCAAACAAGTCATGACATTGAGAAATACAACACAGAATAATAATCAACAATCATCGTTAATCAACAGGGTAGCATAACATTTCTAGATAATAGGATTATACGAAGACCAGCGTGACACGCGATGGACTAAAAATATGAGTGCTATAGAAACAAATATTAATTTGGAAAATGAATGGTAGGTAGCACTGACTGGGCAAAGGTTTTGAATGAAAACTATTATTTACTGAGCTTACTTCATAACAGAATTCGGCCATCACTTGTCTTCAAAACTTATTCCTTTGCTATTATTTCGTCGTAGGGATTCAAATAATATCGCTTGTATTCTGAGTTTATTTAGTGATTCAGAGTGACTGTAAATAAGCGGTTCCAAGATCAACGATTCCAAGAGTGTCTATCGCAGTCTCTACCTCACATTTTTTATCGCGTCGCTCTAGGAAAGTTTGTACAATCACCGTGCACCACCAGGTTCTTGCGGCATACTCCTAATATTTAATATTAGCCGCTAAAATGTGGCATTAGAAGCATTTTATTTCACCAAATGCGTCACTAATTAACGGATCTTGTGAGCACACCGCTTGAATAATTTGGTGTGCAGTCAGCCCAAAGATTCATGGGTACGAAATGAAGATTCAAAAATTAATGTGTGTAGAAATTCTTTGTTCCAGTCTTACAAGAAATCTCATCCTATCTAAGTAAAATTGTTGAAACGTCATAGTTTAATCTTAATCCTGCGGCATGTAATCCTGCTTTAATCGCAGCCTGTACTGCGGAAAAGGATTCATTTATTCCCGGTTAGAGCTTGCTGTAATATCGATATAAAAATAATCCGACAAAAAGGAAAATATTATGAGTCCCGTTTTCTGTCATATAAATTAGAAATAGTATGACCTAATGTGTTGCCTCTTTCTTCAATTAAACGGATTAGATAATACTTCAGTCCGATGTTATTTATTTCATCAGGATGCGACTCCGGCTTCGGCAACAAGCTGGCACAGAGGCTCGCGAACATGGGCTTCACGGTAATATCTACACGAAATGAATTTGATTATCGCGAGTATTTCATGCATGTTGATTACTATAACTATCACCATCATCGTCAAATATTATACCGAGTTATATTATTTTGTCATGACTGACAACAATTTTAAGTTAATGCCAGTTATTAATAATAGTGATAGTTAGGTAATACGGTAATTCAAGATTTGAATCCCTATTAATTATTTTAGATGAATAAGGCGCGAAGTTATTTATCATTGCAATCTGAGTGTCTTTTTACGGTAATTTACTGTCTACAATATAAATATGTCATATGTCTTGAGTTTGATTGTACGGCATATTTCAAAAAATCAGTTAAAAATATTTAGTAAAAATATATATTACAAGCGCAGAACAAAGCTGAATTTGTACGCAAGTCATTAAATTTTTGCGTCTGTCGACGTTGATGTTGCCTGAACAACAATTATGGAGAGCGGTCGAATAATTAAAATTTTTGGATAATTATAATCAAACTACAGGTTTTTGCTGGGTGCCTGTATCCTGAAGGTTCAGGCGCGAAGGAGCTAGGGAAGGATAAGAAAATCGTCGTGATCAAACTGGACGTGGTCGAACAATGTGACATCGAAAAAGCTGTACAAGTTGTCAAAGAGTATCTGGATAAATCTGGTAATACAAATTCTGTGATAATTGTACGATCATTCATTGATAGTACATTGATAATTTTATCGTAATTTTCGTGTTGGTAAATTCTGATAACGCATTTTACACATAACCTGCATAGCTGCATTCAATGACTCATTGTTCAAAATAGGAGACGTTTCTTCAAGTTTCTTAAGAATAAAATATAAACGGTGAGTTATTCATGATATAAGGCTTTTACATTGTGTTCTTTAATAAATATTCAGATTTATTTTTTTGACAAGTACTGAATTTTCTGTTAGATTATAAACCTAATGAAGGATCAAACAAGCTAGTAGCTTTAACTTGAGAGAAGCTTTAGTTGCTAGAGAATTCCATTTCTAAATAGTTTTCTATTCACTGACAATAGCTTAGGAGTGAAAGTAGAAAATATTTATAACCATTCAATTAATATTTAAAAACAATGCGAATCTTAAAGTTAAGAAAATTGTGTGAGAAATTTCCAACCTTTCATACTGCCAACAGTCCGTATAAATTTAGACACCATCTGCCCCTCGACAAATTTCGAACAAACGAATATATCGAAATTGGACATGATACCAAGATAGGGTGTAAGTAAAAGCTCAAGCAAAAAAGGTATATAATCTACTAAAAATGTTTGTGCAGAACTCAAGCTGTGGAGCATCGTGAACAACGCCGGGATCGCGTTGGGTGGTGAAGTAGAGTTATTGACGATGTCGACGTACCGACGAGTGCTGGAGGTGAACTCGCTGGCGCCCGTGGCCGTTACTAAAGCCTTTCTGCCTTTGCTGCGTCAGGCACGAGAGGGAAGGGTAGTCAATGTCGCCTCTATTGCAGGTTTGTCGAAAAAGAGATTTAAAAAAAAATCTTTTGTTTTTTGAAATCTTGCGATTTCAGTGCAGGCTATGCTTCCGCTTTCCTAGCAAAAATATGAGTCATTTGAGTTTGTAAAGAAGTACTAACTATGCAAATTTCACACCACTGACTATCAGGCCCCAAAGATTTAGCACGACTCTGAAGTGGGCATTAAATTGGTCGTAGCCGTCAGACAAGCTGCTGATCCCGACTTGCGTACTGGTTTCTCTCATATAGGATTTTCAATCCGACGCCAGGGTTCGTGCGTATATTCTAAAAACCTCCGTGCTCTAGCTCTCTCCTGCGTTCGATTTGTTATAACTCTTGTGAGCGATTTTTAATTCGCTTAGTACTTATTTTTCGCATCCGTCTGATTTGTTTTGTCTTAATTTGCTCTTTATCTATAAATACATTGAGTTGAGCTTGTCTTTGAGTTATCAATCAGTCATATCCAAGCCTTGCTTATTTAAGCCAATAGGGAAGTATCTTTCAACTTCCGGTCATTGGTGGGCGTGACAATTAAGACCATCCGAACTTTTGATAATCGGTAATTTGGCAATTGGTAATTCAGACAGTCAAGGCTAGTTCGTCATGGAATATCCACTTGGTTTGTTGGCCTCACGAAACAGTTTAACATTCCCCTTTAACGACCACATTTTTTTTGAATGGCACCACAACCCTACAAGGTCAGCGCTGTACTGCGTGGTTGGCGGCAGAGAGCAGAATTGCACCACCAAAACAAAGCAGGGACACGTTCCCTGCTTACGACAAAACAAGTAGCGCCAATTATTTATGATGAAAATAGTATAACGGAGCATATTTGAAAGGCGACCGTACGGTACACCCGGGCGTTGAAGGGATAAATATTCCAAAAAGGAGAACCACTTCCGAAAACATCCATAAATTTTTTAGCGATAAATTAAAAGTAAGATAGGAATTATTATTATTATTATTATTATTCCACGAAGAGATTGTCGTGGCGTCTCGTTCGGATCGAACTTCGAGGGCACGTTACAAGTGGCTAAAAAAGACACGAGAGGATAAAAACAGATGACGTCTATGCTAAAACAAAGGACATATGCCAAGACTGACGACGTCTATGATAGAACAAACATGAGTAATATACATAATAGATTAGATGACGGCTAGGTCTAAGATTCAAAGGCTCTACGGAAAAGTTCTGTTTTTAGGCGTCGAATGGGTCGATACGAATTTGGGTCTGAGGCGTCAAGGTCCGGCTTTTTGAGAAGCGGCGTGATGTAAGCGGATTTGAAGTTCTCAGGGACAACGCCGTCAGCGAGGGAGCGGTTGAACAGTTCAACCATAAAAGGTGCTAGGCTGGCTGTGGTGTTAGAAAGTAAAATTTCTAAAAAATAGAAAGTAAAATTTCTATTTTCTAAAAATATAACATAAATTATGTGATGCTAACTCGTTCCCCGGATCTTAGTTTTCGGGGCTGACCAGCAGTTCCCAAATACTTAGATGAACTCGAAAGGCGCTGCACAAGAAACAATAAGGTCTGAAAACGCAGATCTATAACATTTCAATGGACTGTTATTAAATTTTCTTTCAATGTGTAATTTTGTGTGTATGGTTTTGCGAAAATGTAAAGAAGCGGTTATTTGTTGAGCAGGACGTTACACTATGTATGGCTTCACGGCCTACTGCATGAGCAAGCACGCAGTCGTAGCCTTCAGCGACGGACTGCGTATCGAGATGAAGAAATGGAACATCTCCGTGCATACTATAGAGCCCGCGCTCTACAAGTGAGTGAAGCATTTCTTCGTCACCCTGTTCTTATTTAGAGATATTATATTCAATCCGTATGGCACATTTTTTGTCACCTCATTTTTGCAGGTATGGAATATTGTATTCAGCCCGCAAAACACTTATGAGGAAATAGTAACGTAATAACAAATTTTCGATTTGTCAGCTTTCCGCGTGGTACACAGTGACATAAAATGCAAGTCACCTCACTCAATAGACTGCTACCTATAAACAGAAAGTATATAGCAATGAATATTTCAAGAATCCTTTTTCTCCTCTATTGAAAAGCTCTCATTCAATATTATGCGCATATCTATAAGTTCCTATCAGGCATTCTTCGTTTTGTTAATCCAGCGTTTCACAAACTGTAGCCTGCAAATACCACTAATTCTCCACCTTTTAGGTGGTACGCGGAGACTTTTGATGCGAAAATCGATGTTGAGTTTGTTATTTGTTGCCTTACGAAAATGTATACTGTCTATTACAAATAATCTGGCTACAATTTGCACTTATTTTCACATGCGGCAGCGGCACAATAATAATGTCTATAAATAAATATATTTCAGAACGAACATCTGCTCGCATGATGCCATGAGGCTGAATGACGCTAAAGTGTGGCAGGAGGCTCCTGACGAGGCTAAAGAAGCGTACGGCAAAGATTTCTTCGACGCCCGATGCGCGGCGCGCAGAATGTTCGTCGAAGCCACTGGTCGGGCGCCGGAAAAAATTCATGAGGTCGTCGATGATCTCGTGGACGCCGTTGCTTCCGAGACACCAAAAGTTTGTGGTTTTCCTCTCTGAAATACACATTCTCAATCGAATTGTTTCCTCAAATATTTGCAAATCTTGCACAACAATACTTGAGTTTTTGACTAAAAATGGTTTCAATCCAACAGAAATTTGCATGCCGCATTCTAGATTTAATCCTGATGCTTGTTCAGCAAGTTCGTTATGTTGGCCGTCAGGGTACCCCAGTGGTTAAAGTTCAGAGTACCAAGATTGGCGCAGAGAGGCGCGGGTTCGATCCCAGCTCTGTGCGCCAGTTTCTGGTCAGAATCGGCAAGGAGGCCGGGCGGTTAAGCACAGCAGAATTTGAATCTGTGAGTTGTGAGTTCGAGACCGCAACATGCTGTGGATGTTCTGCGATGTTAAGAATCGGCGACAGGCCTATGGCCTAATAAACGCTGAAACCGCTATTATTATTATTATTATTATTATAAACAAATTATTTAGTACTTTCTGCCAAACAATTTCGTTGTTTCAGATACGTTACCTGCCGAGCTTGTCGGGCAAGATTTTCAATAGGATTATGAGCCAAATGCCTTTCGAGGTTCAGCACTGGCACTTCAGTAAGTATTGCCAAGCCCTGACGCCAGCCAAGGCATCCGTCAACTCACTCTAAGCACCTTAGCTCCGAACCGCTGGATTGGTTGCATTCACAATCGATTCTTTACGCTTGGCCTCAAGTAAGAAGAGTTATTATTTATCATTTCTGGCCAGATGTGGGACTTGGCCACAGACAACGGCGCTCATCACATTAGAAAGCAGTTTATGGACTAACTAACATAAATTCAGAGCGTATGCTACCACAATATCTCAAGGGTAGCAAATGTTCGTAAATACACTAATTTGTCTCGGGGTTGAAAACGTCGATGGGCAGTGAAACTTGGCTAGGCGTTGACATCCCCAGCATATTGGATTTTAATTGACTTGACAAAATGCTTATGATATCCAGGAATCATTTTTAGTCCTTTAATTAATGGCTTAATTTTGCTTCAATTTCAGCGAATGAAATTCGATTTTTTCTTTTCCGTACAACTGGATAGAAAACATTTTTATACAATAATTATAATGAAAATAACTTGGACAATAATTCCTCTATTTTTGTATAAATAATCACCTGCTGAATAAAAATTTGGGACTGAGTTTTGAAAAGTTATATTATAGGTAGAAGGCAGAGCAAAGGAATGTTCATGTAATGACATTGTTCATTTTAGGATGTGCACTTGGTTCAGAGTTTAATATTAAATGCACCATGCAAGTGTTTCATTCCAACCTTTCATTGTGCTATCATTTGCACGGCTTGTTTCATGTAAGAACTTTACGAATCTCCGTGGAATGCCTACGACGCTCCATGCACGGACGCTAACTGATATCTAAGAGTACCGCTCAATAATAACGGGAAAAAATGAAAAGAAAATACCATTTTAATTTTGTTCCGTGGTGGCACGGTGGATTTTGAAAGGTTTCACGGCGAAGTACTTTGAGAGGTCCGATTGATTTAGATTTCATAGAGATCTTGTAATTTGTGTCAAATATTGATAATTGGAATATTTTTCCAGTCGTAATGCACACAAAAACAAAAACGGCGCGCAGTTTCATGTTATAAAATTTTATAAAATGTTGCCTTTGTTAGTGCTTTTATTTGTGTTCGTGCACGGTCATCTGATTCTAGATGAGGAAATTTTGTTGGCATATTTTTGTTTTCCTTACAACAATATAAAAACGTTGTAGTTTTGTTCAGGGATCTAAAGGTCCTAATTTCAGCGATAACATCTTCAATTATAATCTAAACTTTGGTAAGGACTCTTACGATATGCTAAGCTTGATAATTTCGAAAAATATTATATGGACCTCGAGTGTTTGATTTTTTTACATTTACATGTAATAATGGTCATTCATTATTTCATTTATTTCCGAAGGCCTGTTTTAATTATTGTTTTTAGAATTCACGGTCATATTAAAAGGACACTAAAATTTGTAGGACATATACGTAGCATCTCCTATAGGTATGTTCCAATACCTCAGGTATTTTTTGGTGTGGTCGGTGATGGTGACGTTGGTGCTGCTCGTGGCGAGAAGTGTTGGTGTGGTAATGTTTCTCGTCGCCGGATTCGTGTCCCTGTTTCTCGCCGACTTGACAATCAAAACGAAGGAAATTTATTTCAATGTCCGAGAAATGTGCACCATCTTGCAGTTCTTATTACCGGTTAGTTTAAAAACTTTTCCGCATCGTTAAATGACAACGAAACGAAATACAAATATTTTCAATGTGATGAATTATCATTTCGATATTGATATCTTATGGTCGAATTGCCTATTATTAAGGTCAGAATATTATTAGATCGTGAAAATAATTCGTGTGTACAGTATGTATATTTATATATGTTTTTAGCGCATTTTCTCATTTATGGAGAAAGGGCTGAACTTCGTCTTCGTCACTCGTTGTGATGATTGTTTCATCGATGAACTTGATGATATCAGGCATGTTCTCAGGGTGGTCAAAATCGAATTAAGGTGCATCTTCAAGCCTTCACTTCGAACCTACATATGAGAAAATATCACGAAAATACATAAAAATTAAAAACCCACCCCATGGCGCAACTCAGGTCCTGTATTAAGGACCTGAGACCAAGACCTGGGTCATGTTACATATTTTTGGAAAGGCCAATTTTCAACCAATCTAAAACTACAATCTAAATCACGACACGTTATGAAAGTATTCTTAAAATCGACGAAAACGTGGAGTCACAGACTTAACAAAGATTCATGATGATCAGAATATCTGCTTCCGATGCGCAGAGTTCTTTTTACCTGTAACTCACTTGTTGGGAAACTGATAAATACAATAAAATCATTTGATAAGGCTAAAGAATTCTGTTATTTGCATTGAAACGATTTTATGCAGTAAAATCTTCCTTACATTCTTCAACATTCATGTGATATAATATCATAGGGTCACTGTCACTTACCATGATGATTACATAAAAAAATTGGCGGCGTTAGCCTTATTTTACAATTCAATCAAGGGGTTAAGCTTTTTATATAGGCGCATAGTTTTTAAGTTCTTTTTACAAGAATTCAAGAAGTGGATGCTCGTGAAATACGGCTGCACGATTGTCAAAAAATTTAACGTGAAGAAAATTGGCATAAGGATTAATCACAATTCATTCTCTGTACGTGAGAAACAGGAGTGCATTATCAGCATTTGAGATTGAGAAGTCAAATTCATATGATTGTTTTTCTACAACAACAAAAATCTCATCTTGATTAGAAATATTGCATTTAAAATTATGCAGTTATATATTTCAGGATGAATCTTTGTTCGTTTGAGACCATGAGAAAGAATGGCGCTAAGGTGTTCATGGCAGTAGGCACCTGAGGCCAAGGACGCGTACGGCGCAGACTTCTCGCGGCACAAAGCAGATGCGCGGCGTTCATGGCGCTCATCGATTCCACCGGTCAGCCGCCGGACAAGATTCATGGGGTCGTTGATGTTTTCTAAGATGATTCCCGTAATAATTAATTACCCTTTCACGAACAAAGCTCTAAACTAAACCCAGTGATTGAAGAACATACAAAATATTCTCTAGAGAACATAGAAAATTGGAAACTTTTTGCTACAATGAAGCATAAATTTAGCCTAAAAATGGCAGGCATATCGTCGTGTGGCTCAAGCAATCTTATCGACGGCCATGCACTTGAATGTCCACTCTGATCGAGATCTTGAATGTTCACTCAAAAAGGTCCATTCTTTGCTTGTCTATCTTCACCCTCGCACGCAGAGTTGCACTTCCCGAACATGGCTCTGATATGGCCAAAGCAGAAGCATTACTGCGCTACTTTCTTCGTTGTCTGGGCTATGCTGTACATGCTGAGCTGCCACTGGGTTGTAAAGGGACTCGCTGTCGGATTTTTTAGTCTGTACGTTGCAGATTTGGCTCTTAAAATACATGAAGATTTCTTCAAAGAAAAGACGTACATCAAAGATAACGAGAAGGCTGTCTTCATTACAGGTGGGCATGCTAAAATAATTTTTCATTAAAGTTATTACTTCCAAGTAATCTGTCCGATTTGAAACGAATTTTCAACTGATGACTGACATATATGAACTGATTGAATGTTAAAATGACGCATTATCTGGATTCAATAATAAACGCCTTTGCATATAATCGTTTCTATATCTTTGTAAATTCGGAAAAGCTATAATCAATATACCAGCATGAACAATGGATCCTCTTACTTTACGTTACTTAGATCTATTTGCACGGCTTCTTCTGGCACCAGAATTTCAAACGCTTCGAAGGCAGTCGATCTCTTTATTGCTTACAGTTGTTTGTCGACACGTCAATCCTCGTTTCTAATTATTTGTCATTCTAACCTACCATTGCATTGTTTTTATCTTTCATATTACTAGTCGTCCATTACGTAACCACACTGATAACATTTGAAGTCTGTTTGAGTGTTCGATGAGGAAGTTCATAAATTTCGCGTTATCAATGAATTTGTTTTTAATTTGGTAAACAATATATTTAAATATACAGAGAGTAAAATCCATTAATTTGATTAATTCTAACAAACCGGAATAGGTCGCCCTTCTTTTTGATAAGGACAAATAAAAGCTTAATAAAACATCGGGATAACTATAATAAACCAAACTTATCGAAAAGTTCAACCTAGAAAAATCATCGATATTAGAGGCTCACTGGATAAATAAACAATTTAAAACTATAAATGAATTAAAGCTTGACCTATTTCCGCATTGGTCTCAATTTTATTTTACTCTAAACTTTTTTGATATGACAATGTTTTCACTAACAAATTTCTGAACTGTTAATAAATGTTTTATTTTAATTTATAAATAAATACGGCCCGAAGAGCCGACGCGAAGTAGTTGTAGTTCTTAGTCACGGGTTTGAGCTTTCCATTTTGAACACGGCGATAAACATACAATTCAGCTCTATGCATACCATTTAACATCAGGAAGAATAAAAGAAGACAAAGTATATTTTCTATATATACCAAGAGCTCACCTTGAGACACGGTGCCCGTTGATAGACGGCAGCAATCAGATAAAAGTTCGCATGCAACGAGCCTCATATCAAACAAGTCATGACATTGAGAAATACAACATAGAATAATAATCAACAATCATTGTTAATCAACAGGGTAGCATAACATATCTAGATAATACGACTACAAATATGGGTGCTATAGAAAGAAATATTAATTTGGGAAAGGCATGGCAGGACTGACTGGCGAGGGTTTTGAATGAAAACCATTATTTACTGAGCTTTCTTCAAAACAGAATTCAGCCCTCAATTGTCTTCAAAACTTATTCTTTCGCTATTATTTCGTCGTATGGATTCATATAATTCGGCTTGTATTCTAGGTTATATGATTTTGTGTGACTGTAGTTCATCGATTCCAAGATCAGCGGTTCCAAGAGTGTCTATTGCAGTCTTTCCTCACATCCCTATCAAATTTTCGATTCCTGTCAGCCGTTGGCTTAAGGACGCCACAAGCTCGCCTAGCGGTGTAAATTAGTGGATCTATGTTTGCTTTATGTTAATTTGTTGTACGAGGAAAATAAGCGCCTGATTAGGATCCGGTCTATTCCTTGACAACCGTGGGGCGACTGCGGGGCACGCGTATTTGGTGCCTGATACGTTCGGGACAGATACGGCCGAATCTGAAAAATGCGTTGAAAAATGCCCCCTCCTTGCCTCCTTTATGGGGGAAGGGAGGGGGCATTTGAATCTCTGTACGCTTTATATATATGAGCAGACTAGACGTGTATCATCGCGGCACAACGAATCAAATGGCATGTAAACACGAGTTTGAAACGGGAATAATACCAGCTAATACAACTCTCAACCCCAACTTTCCACATAACCCACAACATTCTCTAATATTTACCTGAATTGCAAGACCCTCGCACTTTGCTCTAGCAAAACAATCTACAATATTCACCAGCAGTCAGCATTCTCACACATTTCCCAAAACCAAACATTCTTCAATATGCAATAGCACTCAACGATCAGCATTCTCCAATATGCAATGACACTCAACGATCAACATTCTCAATATGCAATAGCACTTAACGATCAACATTATCCAATATTCAATCCCGCTCAATATTATCCCACACTATCCGTGAATGAAATATTCAAACACTCACACCCGTACCAAACATTCCTGCCTATTGCGGGTACCAAACATTTTCCACATACGGCAGAGCAAACCATTCTCTCACCTTAACCAGTATTAAACATTCTCCAATATTCGTCATCACTAAACAACCACATTCACATATACTGTTGAGCATTCTACGGCAAAAACCCTTAAATCAATCCTCAAAGTTCTCCCAAAATATTTTGCAAACAGCCTAGTGTATCTAGTATGTACAGGGCTCAATTATAACCATTTTAACATAGCGCAAATTCAATACAGTAGCTAATTCCTGTGTTCCCAGGTAGGAAGTACATAAAATGTAATTAATTGATCGCGATAATGTAATTCAGAGTAAGACGACACCCGCGCGCATTCACATCCAGTGTAATTTGCTAACGACTCGTTATCTTTCGGCACGTCACCGTTTGTACGTTCTATCGAATTGATTTGCACGAGTCTATTAAATTCTGCCTACAGTGGTTGTGAAGAAGAATGGGTCAAATGCTACCGTCTAAATTCCAGCTGGAACTTGTGACATTCCTAACATTGCCATGTTCTATGGAAAGTTCGTAAATTTATCCTCTAATAATTTGTAATTCTTCGAAAATCACCCAATTCATTATACTTCGATTTTACTCTGGTACCAAACCCAATGGTACAACGAGAAATAAGCATATTATTACAGAGAAATAGCAACTTAATTACTTACGGAGTTGAGACCACGATTTGGATCCTTGTTTGAACGCGTTTCTCTTGCAGTGGCACGGTGACTGTTTGACTAGTAAAGACTAAACCCAACCATGGAGACGAACTCTTGAGTGAACTGGCATTTCCATACATGGATCCAGCTTTCTCGATGAATTAGAAATTAAAACCTGAAGTATATGGACTCAAACAGCTAAAATAACATGATCATGTCAGCATATACCTCAAGTTAAAAATTTCCATTACTGCCAGTTCCTAAATATTTGAAGCTCTGAATAAAGTAGGTAATATTGAACATAGGTAATAATGAACATGTATTATGCATAGATGTTAAGAATGCTAAGAATGCGGCGCCGTGTTGCGAGACCGTGGGAAAGGTCGTTTACATTGAAGCGTTGGCGCTCAGCGTTGCGAGGGAAATTCCTTTCGAAGGAATGTACTAGCGTCAGTTCGAGGGTTAGGCTTAAGTGTGCGCGACTCTAGCGTATATAAGGACTTCAGATTTCGCGCCAGTTGTTGTTGGTTCTACGACGGAGACCGTCACGTAACGGCTGCGGCCGTGAGGCCGCGGTGTTACCACTCGGCAACCACCTGACAAAACGATAAGTAATGAATACCGGTATCCTGAACCTGAACGTAACGTAAATTTGGTGGAGTAATCACTCCGATTCACCAACTTTAAAAGATATGAGACGATAGGAAACGTCTCTCTCTATATATATAATATTCTTTTAAAATCCCTATTTAATCAGCTCAACTGAGTTGTCTAAGTAGAATACCGGCGGGTCGGGAGCGCAGCCGTGCACCACCAATTTTGTGCACCAATAAGCCTTGAATCGAACGCCTTGGATCTCTTCGGAAATCCATCAATCAGCCGTGCACCACTTGGCTTTGTCCTTCTCCGGCCTTGACCACCACCTGCCGTGCACCACCAGGCCGCGGATCGAATCTGACAACCGGGCATCGTTAAATTACGTAATTTTACGTTCACCGCATCTGAGGTTAGGTTTCAGATAGCATAGTTCTGTTCCAAAATTTATCGTCCTTCGACAAGTGGCCGTTCGACCGAGGGCTGGTTCGACACACGGCCTAGATACGGACGGCTTGAAGTGTTGAAGGCTACGTTCCGGAAGGCAGGAATCATGATGGTCCATTACATCCAGGGCAGTTGTGGTCTTCGGCAGGCGACCCGGCGGGTCGGCTGCCGAAGACCCCCAATCACGCCCTGGATGTAATGGACCATCAAGATTCCTGCCTTCCGGAACGTAGCCTTCAACACTTCTGGACAATTATATCTAGGCCGTGCGTCGAACCAGCTCTCGGTCGAATGGTCACTCGTCGAGAGACGATAAATTTTGGAACAGAACTATGCTATCTGAAACCTAATCTCAGATGTGGTTAACGTCAAATTACGTGATTTAACGATACCCGGAAGTCATATTCGATCAGCGGCCTGGAGGCCGGAGGAGGGCAGAGCCGAGTGGTTCACGGCTGATTGATGGATGTCCGGAGAGGTCAAAGGCGTTCGATTCAGGCTAGTGCCGGTATTGGTGTCGTGTTTTTTCAATTAACTACACTTGCAGAACAATTGTACAGGAAAACTAAGAATTTTCTAGTTTCTAATAATATTCAGCTTTTTAAATCTCTAATTTATAATCTATTATACTTCACAACTTACTTTTCCCACTATTACTACAGGATTGAAATGAGCAACGTTAGCCGTTCAACGTGTGATCATCACTAGGATCACTGGCGAACTAACGCCGGGCGCCGGCAAGCAAACAAACGTGCAGCGGCTTCTACGCTACTCGCTCCCTCAAGCTGCATCACGTTAAACAGGAATAATATTTAAACATTTAACGAGGCTAGCAACAAATTTTGCCCCGTGAACATAATAAATTAGCTATGAGGAAAAAGAACCGTAAAGCACTGACCAGGTTTTGTCGTTGAGGTTGTTTGAACTAATGACTAAACTTTTTTTAATTCGTTCAAAAAGTAGTTAGGTGCCTGAGCAGAGTTACGTATGTTATGCATGACACTCCCGCCCAGTAACGCCCAGTAACCGCCATTGAATAAGATCATAATTCACTGAGGGAATTATGTTAACCGCACCACAATACGATACAATTGTGAACCTTAACTGGAAATATTGAAATTTTGTAGACATTGTTTGAATAACCGAAGGTACACTGTTCAATGCCTGTTATCTGGCAATGCAATGTCATCACAATATCAAGCAGTTTCATCCCAAATCATAGCGACCTGAACATTTTATAAATAAATTACTTATAGGCCCTGAATGCAAAACCGAACGTTCATCTGCTGCTTTTTCTGCCAATCAACAGCTTACATATCAGTTATGAATGTTATGATAAGAACTTGAAATTAATCTGTTCTAGCTACAAGCATTGTTTTTTTACCGCCACGTACTTATCAAGTATTTTTCTGCTCCTGTACCCCTTAATCATGTTTCCATGCCTTCAAGCATCCTGTGGTTTTTAAAGATAACCAAATAAATCAAGATATTTTTGTTTATGATTAACGAAATTATTATCTTACAACACGTAAGCTTAAAAAATTGGTAATATCAATTCTCATTTCATTCCATCGTATGTCTTGACAAACGTACGTGTACATACATCGACGCCATATGATGAGCGGGAGCTATGGCCATGGCTCGATCAAATAACAGCATCTGATCACAGAAGCCTGGCCAGCTGCTTTTTTCGGTCTGATTACGTATATTCGGCCTATCGGGCAATCGACTCCACCAATCGGCTCCTATATAGCCGCTGATTGCAGTTAGATGGCCGATAGGCGCCTGAGTCACCTCTAATAAGAGGCCCGTTCAGCTGGCTCAGCCGCGTTAGTCGCTAATGTAATTTTATAACTATTACTAGGTCCAATAACTCCCCTCATAAATAAGATATAAGTCTGAAATTTGTAATGCTATCCTGGCTAATTATTTTTAATACGTAGACATTAAGATAAATTATGTAAACTTTTTATTTCAACTGTTATCAGGGAGGATGAAATCTTGCACCCCGATATTCGTAAAGCGTGTGATTTTTCTATCAATTTCTCGATATACGGCGGTTTAACTATTTATTCTTCATTGATCGCTACCTCAAACATTTCTGAATTATTATTCTAGTATTATATATAAGCACTTGAAGCCCAAGGGTAGGTGAAACATCCGTAGATTAAAGCACGACCAGACAGCTTTGGTTGTCATACTCTCCTGCAGGCGCCGGCAATAAATTTTGTCTTCAAGGTAAACATGCACTCTTCTTTCACAGCCACTTCGCAGTCTGGTCTATGAGCGTCATGGTCGTACATATATGAGCATTAGGAATTTGGTGCATACAAATTGCACCTCATTATAATAAAAAAATGCACCTCAAAAAAATAAAAAATGCACCTCATAAATGACAAGGGTGAGAATATTCATGTCATGAATTAAAAAAAAAATATTATATTATGAAATACCAAACGAAATAAGAATTTGCGTTCCGTTACTACATCAACGATCAATTTACCGCCAATAATTACTCTGTGATCTTTTGAGTAATAACTACCAATTACTTCCAGTAAAAATTATATAAGAATTAGAATTAACCAGAAGCAGTACATTGTACATGGTTAGTGATTACAGTATAAGCTTTCATTTTCACTTGCGTTTTTCTAACCTGTTCACTGCTTTTTAGGCACAAATAATGTTAAACTGTTGAACTGTCTGAACATTTCTCCATATTTTACCATATTTCATGATTTGAAATTTCTCGCACTTAATATTGCGATTGATGTTTCTGGAAGAGCTTCTAATTAAATAAATAAAATCATAACAAAATAATCCGTTTGCTACTAGTAAAAATATTGGGAGCGATATTAACGATGGTGTTGTTCATGAATTCATGAGTACATATTCAAATAACGTTGATATTTTAATGTTACAAATTGTAAATTAGTTAATATTGTTATGTTACAATGATGACCGATGCACACTGATGACTGAACCATACTGATGACTGATGCATACTGATAACCGATGCATACTGATGACTGATCATATATTATTTCAAATAATTGGATCCATCTAAATTTTTTATTCCTGACACGCGTTTCACCATCGCTTGGTTGTCGTACAGTACATCGCTGTCTGGTTAATAAATTAATCATTGAATTATATGAGTTGGAATATAGCAATTTAAATTCTATACGTACATGATCTGTGCAGTAATGAGAACATTCACGTAAATGTGTAAATTTTTATCAGAAGTTCATCAAAAACGGTTAAGACATGCATTTAAATTGATATTCTATTTCTGTAGACATTTTTTGAAGTCTAAAAATTACAACAATACATTGCACATTGCTTAATAATCTGTAATATTAATATCAAACGGAATATTATTATCAGCCCACTGAATTATTATCATACTGAATTACTGATTTAAATTATTATTACTGTGATTGTAAAAAGTATGATTTATATGATAATAAGAGGCAAAAATAAATAATTAATTTTAAAGCAAATAACAGGAGCGAAAACCATAATGATGCGAAGTACCATGGTACGGATTACAATTGTAAAAAAATTTGCAGCTTATTTGCGCAACTGCTACATTAGCATTACATGAGACCGCACGTTCAAATAAAGTTTGTATCCTAAATTATTGAAGTCAAAACATGCCCAGTAGTTTCTGAGGGAACCGCAAGCACATAAATCTCTCTCTCGGCGCTGTCAAGTGCCTTCTCTCCTTCCCAGACCGTGGGTGGCCAGCGGTCGGCCAGATCAGGTTCGCTCCGGCCGCCCGCTGGCAATTCACCGGCCACCTAAAGCCGCCTCTTGCCTAAAACAATAAACCTTGAGGCCTGGGGTGCGTTAGCCACAAATATGTGGCTAAAGTGATAACGAGACCAAGGGCTGGTGACGGCCGAACTTACACGCGAGTGCAGATTTTACAAAGATCTGCTGGTCCCAGGGAACTCCGACTTCAGGGAACTCAATGCTACAAATTAAAAATTAGTTAAAATTTATAATTATAATATAATAATTATAAAATAGTATTAAATATTATTTAAAAACCAGCATGATACATACATAATAAAAATTACAGAATAAAACTGTGCGAAAGATTTCGGTGTAATGTTGTCAACCTCAGCCTGTTACTAGTGTCAACATGTTAGTGGTTACTTGTTAAGTTGTTACCAGTTACCACTTGTTCTTGTTGGGGCGCATGCCGGAGGCCTGCTTTGCCATACTTCACACTTAGTTCATATTCCTTTCCATAGGTAAGAACGCTAGAGCGCATAACGGCCTATGAATTCAAGTGCTCAAAGCCATAGCGCCAATTGTCCACAGCCACAAAATAAGCTTGCCGAAGGTAAACATGGCCATACTGCATCTGGCCAAACCTCATCTGGCCGAACCTCATCTGGCCTAACCTCTTCAGGCCTAACCTATCCGAGCTGCAACCTTTCTCCACCCAAAACAAACCTGAGCGGACCTAACCTAACCTCATTGGCTGCAAGAAGTTAGAAAGGCGGTCCAAGTGTGCTGGTCATTGGCTGCAAGAAGGTTGTGAGCCGGGACAACGTGAATAGGTTAGGCCAGAAGAGGTTAGGCCGGAGTAGGTACAGCCGGATGGGGAACTGCCTGCTTATGAGCGAGCATGCTAAAGCAGTGGCTGAAGGCCTACGGTGCAGTATTATCTTTCTGTAGTGTGTCGCTTGTCTGGATTACGGAGTTCAAGCGTAGTCTGCGGCTTCTAGTTCTGAGGCTGAGTAAAGTTAATGCATGGTGAGGCTTGGCGTTGGCTCCAGCGCTTATTTAAGAGTAAAATTTGTGGCCTGCGGCTGCGCCCCTTCTTGTTCCGTGCCAGCTGCCACCACATGTCCACGACCATATCACGAACATCAGCCACCTAACTTCAGTTTGCTTACGGTCATTTTTACACAGTTATTTTTATGTTTCACCTTCCCTACATGGATGTCTACTTTAATCTACCAATCTCAAAAATTATCCACATATATACAAATAAAAGACAGATTTTATATATGTATATGAGGATAACTTTTGAGATTGGTAGATGAAAGTAGATATCCACGAAGGGAAGGTAAAACATAGAAATAACTAACTTTTATTTACTGTATTTAACCCGTACTATTTAGGCTAGGTTAATTGCAATAAAGTTGCATTGATATGTTTTGAAAATGTTTTAGTATCATTAAATGTTTATGAGTAAATCCCAATAGCAGAACAGTAAATATTTAGAGATTTTCAATAATTTTGGCCATTGTAGCGGCTAATGTAGCACGCTACATTTTACTGTAGCGGTAGCGGTAGCGCCCGCTACAATCTAGTGGGTGTAGCGGTAGCGGAAGCGCCCTCTACATTTAGAGCATGTAGCGGTAGCGGTAGCGCCGCTACATTTCAAAGTAGCGCTTCCCAGCTCTGCCGGTTTCAGCTTGGTTGTAATATCAATGTAAGAATAACCCGACAAAAAGGAAAATATTATGAGTCCCGTTTTCTGTCATATAAATTAGAAATAGTATGACCTAATGTGTTGCCTCTTTCTTCAATTGAACGGATTAGATAATACTTCAGTCCAATGTTATTTATTTCATCAGGATGCGACTCCGGCTTCGGCAACAAGCTGGCACAGAGGCTCGCGAACATGGGCTTCACGGTAATATCTAAACGAAATGAATTTAATTATCGCGAGTATTTCATGCATGTTGATTACTATAACTATCACTATCACCGACAAATATATTATACCGAGTCACGGTTGTTCTGTCACGACTGCCAATAATTTTACGTTAATGCCAGTTTTTAATAATTGTGATATTATATGATACGGCAATTCAAGATTTGAATCCGCGTTAATTACTAAAGATGAATAATGTACGAAGTTATTATCATTGTAATTTGAGTGTCGTTTTACACGGTAATTTAATGTCCTGGCAATTCTTTGAAAATCTTCCAAGCTGCAAATCATCTATAAACACAAATATTTTTATACCAGGAACAACTAAGGAAAGTTTACGAGTCACAACAATTTGCTCGTATTATCTGTCAACATAAATATGTCACACATCTTGAGTTTGATTGTACGGCATATTTTACCCGAAAATTCAGTTTAAAAATATGTAGTCAAATTATATTTAACAAGTGCAGAACAAAGCTAGATTTGCTCGCAAGTCCTAGACTTTTTACGTCTGTCGACGTTGATGTTGCCTGAAAAACAATCATGGAGAACGGTCGAATAATTAAAATTGACTAATTAATAAATTTTCGGATAATTATAATCAAATTACAGGTGTTTGCTGGGTGCCTGTATCCTGAAGGTTCAGGCGCGAAGGAGCTAGGGAAGGATAAGAAAATCGTCGTGATCAAACTGGACGTGGTCGAACAATGCGACATCGAAAACGCTGTACAAGTTGTCAAAGAGTATCTGGATAAATCTGGTAATAAAAAATCTGAGATAATTGTACGAGCAATCATTGGAAGGGCATTGAAAATTGTATAATTATTTTGTGTTTGCAGAATTAGATAATATATTTTATATATAACCTGCATTCTATGACTCATTGGTCAGAATAAGAGACGTTTCTTCTAGTTTTTTAGCAATAAAATGTCAATGGTCTGTTATTGATGGTATAATGTTTTGCATTTCGTGTATTAATAAATGTTCAGATTTACGTTTATTGACGAGTACTAAATTGCCCCGGTAAGATTATAGCCTATTTAATTATCTAATTTTATAGACCTAAGCTATAGTACATTCTTTAGTTACTAGAGAATTCCATGTCTAAATATTTTTCCATTCACTGACAATTACTTAGAATTGAAAGTAGAAAAATATTTATAACGATTTTATTAATCTTTAAAAGCGATGGGAATCATGAAGTTTTGAAAATTTTACGTTACGTTAAGTTACGTAATCATGAAGTTTTGAAAATTAAAAATTAAATTGAAATTTAATTTAATTTAATTGAAAATTAAATTAAAATCCATAAATTTAGACATCTGCCCCTCAGTGTATCAGTCATATATCACAAAATTTGACATGATACCAAGCTAGGCTTTAATTAAAAACACAAACAAAAATACTATATAAAAGACTAAAAACATTGACGTAGGACTCAAGCTGTGGAGCATCGTGAACAACGCCGGGATCGCGTTGGGTGGTGAAGTAGAGTTATTGACGATGTCGACGTACCGACGAGTGCCAGAGGTGAACTCGCTGGCGCCCGTGGCCGTTACTAAAGCCTTTCTGCCCTTGCTGCGTCAGGCACGAGAGGGAAGGGTAGTCAATGTCGCCTCCATTGCAGGTTTGTCGAAAAAGAGATTTCCAAAATTAAAATAAAATTGAAATCTCTTCTTATTGAAATTTGGCGATTTCAGTGCAGGCTATGCTTCCGCCTTCCTGGCAAAAATATGAGTCATTTGAGTTTCTTTGGTGGTATGTATGGGTGAAGAAAATCCATTTAATGTAATATATGTATGTGTATTTCAAAAAATTATTAAAAAACTGGAAAATATGGAAGATCCATATGGTTGTTTACATCGCGAAGCAGTTTACCATAAATATTAAAAAAATAAGAACCACTTCCGAAAACGGCCATGATTTTTTTAGCGATAAATTTAAAACTCAGATAGGAACGTGGTGTTTAAGCAACATTTCCATTGCCAAAACATTGCTGGTCCCAAAGAGCGGACCAGCAGTTCCCAACTACTTGATGAACTCGAATGGTGCTGCACAAGAAACTGTATATAGGGTAAAGCAGATCTATAACATTTCAATGGCAATGGGCTGTAGCTGAATTTTCTTTCAATGTTAATTGTGTTTGTATGGTTTCACGAAAACGTAAAGAATCTGTTACCTGTTGATCAGGACGTTACACTATGTATGGCCTCACGGCCTACTGCATGAGCAAGCACGCAGTCGTAGCCTTCAGTGACGGACTGCGCATTGAGATGAAGAAATGGAACATCTCCGTACATACGATAGAGCCCGTGCTCTACAAGTGAGTAAAACCTTTTTTCGTCACCTTATTTTTATTTCGAAATATTATATTTAACCCGAATAGCACATTTTGTCACCTCATTTTTACAGGTATGAAATTTTGTATTCAAGCCGTATAGCACAGAAGAAGAAATGGTAACATAATAGCAAATTTCCGTTTTGTCAGTTCTCTGCGTGGTACACAGTGACATTAAATGCAAGTCACCTCATAGACTGCCACCTATATAAGAAAGTAGCAATGAATATTTCAATAATTCTTTTTCTTCTCTATTGAAAAGTGCTCACTCAATATTATACTCATGTATGGGTTGTATATTGGTCTGATTTTCTTTGAACTGTCGTTCAGTTATAGGAGTAGAATTCATTATATTCGATACAGTAGGGTGTAAGAAAAAATCAATATTCAGCATCAAATAATATCGATTCAACATAGAATAATAAAGATTCGATATCGATCAATGGATATTCAGCAACGATTAATGTAGATTCGATGTAGGTCAAAGGATATTCGATATCGATTGATGCGGAATCGGCTTTAAGTACTTTAGATTCTACATCGTTCGATGCAGATTATTCGACTTTACAAATTATCGGGTGCAGAAACTTCAAAAACCTTCGCTGAATCGGCATAGAAAGCTCGCTCTATAATCGGTGTTGCGCACCGCGACATTGCCCTCCACGTTGCCCACTCTGAATAGGGTTTCGTCCTAGTCGACCGAGCAAGAATCTGCATTAATATTCTTGATTGAACCTCATCAATCTTCGTCGATCGATCAAGACCTGTTTGACTGGGTATTTAAGCTCCTCTCAGACATTCATCGTTTTGTTAATCCAGTGTTTCAAAAACTATAGCCTGCATGGGAGCGCAGCCGTGCGTCACTAATTTTGTGCACCAATAAGCCCTGAATCGAACGCCTTGGATTTATCCAGACTTGCACCAATCAGCCGTGAACCACTCGGCTAAGTCCTCCTCCGGCCTTGCATGAAACCTGCCATGCACCACCAGGCCTCGAATTGAATATAACTTCCTGGCATCGTTAAATTACGTAATTTTACGTTCATCGCATCTGAGGTTAGGTTTCAGATAGCATAATTCTGTTCCAAAATTTATCGTCCTTCGACGAGTGCCCGTTCGACCGAGGGCTGGTTCGACGCACGGCCTAGATATGATTGTCCAGAAGTGTTGAAGGCTACGTACCGGAAGGCAGGAATCACGATGGTCCATTACATCCAGGGCAGTGGTGGTCTTTGGCAGGCGACCCGCCTGCATATACCACCAATACTACACCTTTCAGGTGGTACGCGAAGACGTTCGATGAGAAACCGATAGTGAGTTAGTAATTTTTTTGCCTTACGAAATTTTTTTTTTTATTGCAGATAATCTGGCTACGATTTGCCCATATTTCCGCAGGCGACACACAAGTAATGTCTAAAAATATATTTCAGAACGAACATCTGCTCGCTTGATGCCTTGAGGCTGAACGACGCTAAAGTGTGGCAGGAGGCTCCTGAAGAAGCTAAAGAAGCGTACGGCAAAGATTTCTTCGACGTCCGATGCGCGGCGCACAGTGCGTTCGTCGAAGCCATTAGTCGGGCGCCAGAAAAAATTCACGAAGTCGTCGATGATCTCGTGGACGCCGTTGCCTCCGAGGCACCAAAAGTTTGTGGTTTTCCTATCCAAAATACACATTCTCAATCGAATATCTCCCTTAAATATTTAGAAATCTTGCATAACAATACTAGTATTGTATTTTGACTGAATATGGCTTCAATTCAACAGAAATTTCCATGCTACGTTCCAGACTTAATTCTGACGTCTGTTCAGTAAGTTCGTGATATTGACGGCCACAGATAATTCATGTATAATATTAGAAACAACATGAGTAGTTTGAGACACAACGTGAACCACATATTTTTGAGAATTAGAAATAAGTAATTAAAACGTTTTTAAAAATCGAGTTATTCCAGACTTTCTGCTAAAGAATTTCGTTGTTTCAGATCCGTTACCTGCCGAGCCTGTCGAACAAGATTTTCCATCGGATTATGAACCAAATGCCTTTCGAGATTCAGCACTGGCACTTCAGCAGGTATTGCCAAGCCCTCACGCCAGCCAAGGCAACCGTTAACTCACTCCAAGCACCTTAGTTCCGAACCGCTGAACATGGTTGCATTCACAATCGATCCTTTACGCATGGCCTCAAGTAGGAACAGTTATTATTTATCATTTCTGGCCAGATGTAGGATTTGGCCACAGGCAAAGGCGCTGTCAGTGCTTCACATTATAGAAAGCAATGAATGGAATAACATAAATTCGGAGCGTGTGCTACACAATATCTCGAAGGGAGCAAATGTTCGTAAATACACAAATTTCTATATGGTTAGAAAACGTCTAACATCATTCATATCGAATACAGATTAATTAAGGGATGCCCAAATAAACCATGGAAAGTCAATGGGCAGTGAAACTTGGGCAGGCGTTGACATCCCCAGCATATTGGGTTTCAATTTACTTGACAAAATACTTTTGATATCCAAGAATCATGTTTAATCCTCTACTGGCTTAATTTTGTTTCGATTTTAGCGAATGAAATTCGATTTTTCTCTTTTCTGCACAACTGAAGAGATTAAATTTTTATACGATGCTTATAATAATAACTTGTACAATAATTCCACTATTTCTGTACAAGTAATCACCTTCTGAATAAAAAATTTGGGACTGGGTTCTGAATAGTTTCATCGGCAGAGGCAGAGCAAAGGAATGTTCATGTAATGACATTGTTCATTTTAGGATGTGCACTGGGTTCAGAGTTTAATATATATTAAATGCACCATGCAAGTGTTTCATTCCAACCTTTCATTGTGCTATCATTTGCACGGCTTGTTTGATGTACGAGAGAAGAACTTGACGAATCTCCGAGGAATGCCTGCGAAGCTCCACGGACGCTATCTAACTGATATCAAAGTACCGCTCAATAGTAACGGCAAATAGGTGAAAGAAAATATCACTTTAGTTTTTGTTCCGTGGTGGCACGATGGATTTTGAAAGGTTTCACGGTAAAATACTTTGAGAGGTCCGATTGATTTAGATTTCATAGAGATCTTGTAATTTGTGTCAAATATTGATAATTTGATTATTTTTCCAGCCGGAATGCACACAAAAACAAAAACGGCGCGCAGTTTCATGTTATAAAATTTTGCCTTTGTTAGTGCTTTTATTTGTGTTCGTGCACGGTCATCTGATTCTAGGTGAGGAAATTTTGTTGGCATATTTTTGTTTTCCTTACAACAATATAAAAACGTTGTAGTTTTGTTCAGGGATCTAAAGGTCCTAATTTCAGCGATAACACCTTCAATTATTACTTAAACTTTGGTAAAGGCTCGTACGATATACGAAACGAGATAATTTCGTTTTTTTTTTACATTTATATATAATGGTCATTCATCATTTCATTTATTTGTTGTTTCAGGATGTTGACTTACTTGACACCAATTTGCTTTTAACAAAAGTTAAAGCAAATGATAAATGTATTGACGTTTGTTCCTTCGCAAACGGCATTTAACAGAAAATATTATAAAAAATCCATATCAACGATGTTGAGTAAATATGGTAAAGAATTTATGGTAATGAATTTTTATCTGACTAGCCGAATTGCAGTGAACAACACATATAAGCTGTTCATGCGCTTTGCATCATTTACGTTGTTAGATGCTCAGTATATACAGTATTTATATACTTCGTTACAAGCTCAAGTTTTTTTCATAAGTTTTTTTAACAAGTAGTGTATTTCATTAAAACAGGAATACAAGTTAATTTTCATAAGAGTGAAGCTTTAGGACGGTCACTCTAATGGCATCGAGTCACTTAATTGCTTATCAATAAGACAAGAAGAGATGATAGCCGTGATATGGTAAACAAAAATTCAGCCTCGCTGCTCCAGCAGTGACTTGTGATAGCGTGCACCGTGTGCTGCAGAACACCGTGGAAAAGCCCTTCATCAACATTAATTATATATTTTGTGGCCATTCTATGTGGAAATTTCAAACACTGCCTAGTGATGATTATAAAAATTGAATAATAGAAGCTGCATTTATGAATAGTTCAAGTGATGTATTGACAACAATAGCAGGATATATTTCGTTGCTAGTACGGTATCCAATGAGTGCGTATTATCATGATTCGATTTTGGTAACAAGCACTTGAGTGCTCAAACTTTTTTTTGAGTGTTTAAATTAATTCAGTAAACTAATTAGGCTGAAATGATCAATCAAGCATCTTATATGTTCATTGCATAACCTTTCCAATATTTTGCATACCGAGTATTTTTAGCTTTAGTGTCCTAGTGTATATCTATCAGACTGAAATTGTATATATTATTCCCAAGAGGACATTTTGCTATATAGTTGTATCATTAGTGACGATTAATGAATGCATCATTAGATTGTGGTGTCGACTTTGCACGTTACTACTTGTTCCTTTGATTTCTGTTTTATTTACAATATATATTAATTTCCGAAGGTCAGTTTTAATTATTGTTTCCCGAATTCACGGCTATATTAAAAGAACACTAAAATTTGTAGGACATATACGTAGCTTCTCCTAGGTATGTTCCAATACCTCAGTTATTGTTTGGTGTGGTCGGTGGTGGTGACGTTGGTGCTGCTCGTGGCGAGAAGTGTTGGTGTGGTAATGTTTCTGGTCGCCGGATTCGTGTCCCTGTTTCTCGCCGACTTGGCAATCAAAACGAAGGAAATTTATTTCGATGTCCGAGGACGCATGCAGAATGTGAGCCACCTTGCAGTTCTTATTACCGGTTAGTTTAAAAACTTTTCCTCATCGTTAAATGACAACGAAACGAAATACAAATATTTTCAATGTGATGAATTATCTTTTCGATATTGATATCTTATTGTCGCTTGGCATAACATTAAATTCAGAATATTATTAAATCGTGAAAATTAATTAATAATAATTAATTAATTATAAATCTGTTCCTTTTTATGATTCAAACAAAAAATCAGGATGCGATACTGGCTTTGGCAACATGCTGGCTCTGCGGTTGGCTGACCGAGGCTTCCAGGCGAGTGTCTGGAGACGAGGGATAATGCTGAATAAGATGGAGGTCTCAGTTATGATTATCCCAATAACCTTCTGCACTTCCTGAATATGACATGTTGCAGTACAACATATATGAGCAGATTCTAGCTTTGGACCTTATGTTCATGATATCAATTTGAAACCGATTTTGAAAATGTTTAATTGTTTTTAAAGAAACGATCCAAATTAAAAAATATATATTCTCTTCAAAGGTATATGCAGGGTGTCTCTTTCCCGATGGGGAAGGTGCGAAAGCTCTGGCCGAGCGAGCCAGCATATCTGTACTGAAGTTGGACGTGTGTAAACAAGAGGACATAGATACTGCGGTTCAGGTGGTCTCGGGAGACCTGCAGAAGAAAAGTGAGTAAGCGATTCCGCAACTGATATTAATAAGCAAGCTAGCTTTGTAAGAGAATTAGGTTACGGTCGTTTATCATCAACAGCTCCACAGGTAGATTCGAGTTCAAATTTATAATAGTCAGTGCTCGAATATTTTCTTTGTTACTTTCGTAAAAAACGTTAATTTGCATAGCTAAAACTATTTTATGGTTAAAATTTTTCGATAATAAGGGGCACTGGTGGTGCTTCTTCTCCAGTCTGCAACGTATTAGAAAGCTTGTAGCGGAAGCCAGTACTGACGACCACATCTGTCCACCACTAGTTTTACCAGCCAATTATATGGTAACGAGGCTATTTTCGACTTCCAGATTTTTCTGGTTGTGGACGCCAGTGATTTATTCAGAAATCAGACCACAGAATACGCGGCAATGTCAGTCTCTACCATTCTTATTTCGCATACACGCCGAACATACCTGCAGGATTCATTCATGCAGACTCCCAATTCATCATTAGTGGATTGTGACACGTCTTAAAAACTAGTCTCTGATATTGCTTGCAAAGTAAACATGATAGCAGAAGATAGAATCTCTTTTTGCCATGATATTAAGGCTAATTCAGCTATACTGCTGAAGTATTTGTTGATGCATTCGTAGTCCTACAGTTTATTTTATTAAATCTCTATTAGGAGAGTAACCGTTAGCGCAATATGGGCAAGATTGCAATCGAAGTACATTGATAGTCAATTCATACATAGAAATGATTTAAAGCCAGTAGAAAATTTGAGTGACATATCAAAATTCCAAAAAGGAAAAAAAAACGTTTCTACCAAAAATACATAAGGTGCTTCAAAAAAATATTTCCGATCAGGCCTGTCTGTATTTCGAACGCTAATATTAATATGCAGGGGAACTCAAATGATCCGAGTTCAACATGCCCACTTCTTGACCGCACGACATATGATGTCTATGCGGTAGTAAAATTTTTTACCCTGAGTTACATATTCAGCTGATTTTATTATGCGCTTCCTCAGATTATCCATTGTTGTTGGTTGCGGAGGAACATAAACGGAGTCTTTGGTAAATCCCCACGGCCAAAATAACATACAATAGCAATAGGTGACTTTGTAAGCAAAAAATTCGATGTTACATCTTTTTTGCGATGCGGTCGATCCACCAGACACGAATTGATTTATTTGATTATTTTCATACACACTTAATTATACATAACTTTTGGTGCATTTATAAGTGTTTTATGTATTTCTCTTCGGTCGGATGCGAGAGCTGCAGCTGTGGAGTGTCGTCAATAACGCCGGCATCGCCATCATGTCGGAGGTGGAGCTTGTGCCCATGGCTGCTTTCAGGAAGGTCGGTGAAGCAGAGGGGATTGTAAATGTCGAATTAAATAACTATCATAGATAACGCAGAGAATAGGACTATTGAGAGCCGAAAGTGTTTTTTTTCGAAAAATTGTCGAGGAGTGTAAATCAATGTTATTAAAAGTGCAAAACCAGTCAGCCGTCACCATTAGCAGTGTCTAATTATCATTATAGGCTGGAAGACGTTACCCACAGGGCTTTTACCGAAACGAATACGAAATGGGCAGAAATTATTCTTAAAAATATTTGAAGCATAAAATTGGATTGGATATAAATTATTTAAATCAAATCATTATTTAAGTATCCTTTCCTAGGTGCTGGATGTGAACACTCTGGGGCCTGTGGCGGTGACGCAAGCCTTCCTCCCATTGCTCCGCGCCAACGGTCGCGGCCGCATCGTTAACGTCGCGTCCATGGCAGGCAAATATCGCTCGTTTAAAAAAACAATTCGATTAAGCGAATGTGATAGTGATAATTTATGTTAATTTGTATATCATGGTAATCAGAGGCTGTGCCGTTATGGGCCTCTGGATATGAGACCTCAACCGTTGCGATTTCTTGGCCAATCCCGGGAAGATCTCAGATTGGGAATTTGCAGGGGATTTCCCAACCGGGACCTCAGCTAGGTTGGGATTTATTGGCAAATTTTCAAGGTTGGAACCAAGCTTATTGTTTGCAAATCGTTCGCATCCTCGTTTTATTTTACAATGAAGGTTGAGGAATTTCATTAGTAGGATGAAACTCTGGTGTGAATGTTCATGAAAACGGGCCATTTTTCAGAATGTTAAAAGGTAGATGATTTCGCTTTTTCGAAGGTGCAATTGATGTGTAGTTGATCTAGTGTTGATCAGGACGCTTCACGATGTACGGCTTCACGCCATACAGCATGAGTAAGCATGCACTCATTGCGTTCAGCGACGGCTTGCGCATTGAGATGAAAAAGTGGAACATCTCCGTACATTCGATCGAACCGGCGCTCTATAGGTGAGTCTTTGGTCTTAAGTGAATATTTTAAATGTTATATATATGTTGATAGTATTCGTAGAATCACATGGGATAACTGGCAGCGCCAGACGGAGTTTCCAGGAAAGGGCTAGCTGTCATGTAAAACGAGTCTGTGTGAAGTACATAAAATTAGAAGAGGGTTTTCTGTCTTTATAAGGAGTAAAACGAAGTAAAACTAACTAACGAACTAGGCACGTTCATTATCTAAACAAAAGTTCGGCGCTAAACTCATAAACACACACATACAATTTTTCAATAGAACGCCCATCGCCGACGAGAACAGGATGCGCGCCTCGCTGGAGCAAAACTGGAGTGCCCTGGGCAGGGAGGTTCAGGAAGCCTATGGTGAAGCCTACCACTCTGCCATCGTGAAGAATTTGTGTGAGGATTGCAAGAAAACTGCCAAGCCAGAGGTCACTGAGGTTATTGATGACATGGAGGACGCTGTGGCTGGCACCAATCCACAGGTGAGGAAGTTGGTGTAAGACAAAGGAAAGTCCTTGCGTGCCTCTCGAAATTTGAAAAATAAAATTATAAATTCTCTGACCGCCACCTGAACGTAGCTGGAAGAGGGTATTCTAGGCATAGACGACGCCGTCACAGTCATTCGTACCCATAAGGGTCACAATCCAGTAGAAACAGAGGACACGCTGTCAAATTAGCTAAAACCAAATGTTTGCCAACATTTTTCGTTCTATTTGCATTCAAATTCGAAGTTCGATTAATGACCAGAGAATATTAGAACTTGTATAAACAGCCAAATTTCACAATCTAATATTAAAATCCGAAGTTCTACAACACCCAATGCTGAGTGTTCAGTCCTCATGTTGAGCAGGTACGCTACACGCCTGGCAATTACACGAAGCGTGTGGTGAGGATCTTCAGGGAGCTCCCCATCTCAGTCACTGACATCTTGTTTGCTCAAACACACCCAGCTGTTGTGCCTGACATGGCCAGGAACCAAGTAGGAGTCGTTCAAAATTAATTTTGAAAAGCATTCATCTTATTCTCAATGTATAGCAGTGATGGTAAAAACTACATCATCTAGAGCCTAGAGGTTCCTTTAACCTAACTAGGGAGATACCTAGATACTCTTACCTATTCACTTGGGTCGCGAGCATGGTTGAATGATCATTTTTCAATTAGAATAGAATAGAAGTGTCGCACTGAAGAAATAGGCCCATGGCCCGTTGCCAATTCTTGTACTTTTCGTGACTTGATTCACAAGGGATCCGGCCTTTTGAACCCGATCTTTCCATAACTGACGATTGATTGAGATAGCTGCTGGACTTATTGCCTGGTCCGTAATTTGCTAGGCATTTTAAGACTGAACATATGCTTCTGCGTAGCTTCGTCTAGCCTGTTCTTGAAGGCGTTCGATCATACTCGGAGCGTCAACGATGCTATCAGGGAGGCTGTTCCACATGTCGGTGACTTGATGCGAGAAAAAATGTTGTCGCATGGATGTGTTACAACGCAGGTTTTTTAGGTTATAGCCGTGGCCCCTGGACTCAGAGGTGGGCAGTAGCGCGCTACATTTTCAGTAGCGGTAGCGGTAGCGGCGCTACATGAAAGGCAATGTAGCGGTAGCGGTAGCGCCCGCTACATATTTAAGTAGCGATACGTGGTTTTGCCGTTACAGCGCTACCGCTACATTTATAGATAAAGCCTTTAGATTTTATTTAATAATATTAAATATTATTTAAAAACCAGCATGATACATACGTAATATAAATTACAGAATAAAACTATACGAAAGATTTCGGTGTAATGTTGTCAACTTCAGCCTGTTACTAGTGTCAACATGTTATATAGTTGTTACTTTTTAAGTTGTTACCAGTTACCACTTACAGGTATTTTTTCATGTTTCAGTTTGCTTAAAGTTATTTCTAAACAGTTATTTTTATGTTTCACCTTCCCTACATGGATGTCTACTTTAATCTACCAATCTCAAAAATAATCCACATATATATACAAATAAAAGACTGATTTTTTACATGTATATGTGGATAATTTTTTAGATTGGTAGATTAAAGTACACATCCTTGTAGGGAAGGTAAAACATAAAAATAACTGTAAGTTTTATTTACTGTATCTAACCCGTACTAGTTCGGTTAGGTTAATTGCAATAAAGTTGCATTGATATATTTTGAAAATGTTTTATTATCGTTAAATGTATATGAGTAATTCCCAATAGCAGAACAATAAATATTTAGAGATTTCCAATAATTTTGGCCATTGTAGCGGCTAATGTAGCGGCGCTACATTTTACTGTAGCGGTAGCGCTCGCTACAATCTAGTGGGTGTAGCGGTAGCGGTAGCGCCCGCTACATTTAGAGCATGTAGCGGTAGGAGTAGCGCCACTACAATTTAAATTAGCGCTGCCCAGCTCTGCCGGGCCGGTGTTGGTTCTGGTTTCAAATTCTAGTTCTCCTTCTGGGACCTTGTATAAGCCATGGGTATACTTGTATACTTCAATGAGGTCACCACGCAGACGTCGATAACTGAGGCTTGGAAGCTTCATAATCTTTAATCCTTCCTCATAGGACTTGCCTTTCAGGCCCGGAATTATCCTTGTTGCACGTCTTTGAACACTATTAAATTTTTGTCCTTTTCAAATTTCGGTGACCACACGACGTTTCCAAACTCTAGGTTCGGGCGCACGACAGCAACAAACAACTGCTTCATCGCTTCTGCATTTAGGAACCCGAAAGAGCGAAATGTTATCAAAATTTGACTTTTATATTAATTTTGGTGCCGAGATTCTTCATCAGGTATGCGAACCGCAACGCAGGGCTGTGTATTATTGTATCAGATCGTAGCAATGAACGGCATTAATTTAATTTCAATATTTCGACAAACTGATGCTATGAGCAACTGTTACAATTGTTTTTTCGTCAATAAAATGCCACCGTTTACTTCAAATTGTCATTATTCACCAATAAACTCGTAGTTGCCTGAATATTTGCAAGGTTCTAGTAGACCATGCAGTAGACTTGTGTAGCGGCTAAACTCGGTGCAGAACATGACCCCGCCGGTATATTCGGCCAACCAAGTTTTTGTTACTTGCCAGGCTCCAATGCGACTGTATACACGTAGAATATATAGTATGTAATGAATTTTAAAAAATACCTTAGAATAAATCAAGACGATGTCTGATATTTGAAATTACATTTATCGCGAAAAGCTGCAACTTGATCACTGAGCACAAATTGGATAAAATAATTATTACATTTTAAGAATTTGATTGGGAATAATCCAATGTCACATTAAAAAAATATAAAAAAATACGTACATTCTCAAATTACAAAAATCTACGGAGTATGATTAAATTGCTTATTTTTTTGGTATTCAGGTGAGGATAATTTACAAAAAAAAAACAAGTCATTTGAAATGATAAAGTAGTTGGAAATATGGAACTCGTTTATTGCACCATCTCCTGTGAAATTTTATTACACTGAACCCTAAGTGAAGTTTTGCAGTTTCTGCCATTAGTTGGCTATAAAACCTACACAATGGTTCGACACTGATTAGTTGACTGAAAATATGCTTGCGGGCTGGTAAAAACGATCAAAAATGTAAATGGGAGACAAGCTTATATTTTCAATGAGTTCTCATTCATTCAACATAGTCTTGAACGATAAAACTGTGTATTTCTACGTAGACCAAAAAATTCTGCTTATGGGCTTAAATTTTGCTTATAGACTTAAAACAGTGAGCCCATAATTGTTGCTATTGTTAACCAATACGACATTCAACAATAATTTCTTGTTATTTCTTTTACGTAATATGTCTTATTTTTGTTTGCCTGAATTTAAACTCTCATCTTTATAACTTATGGAAAGTTAGTAAACTTTTAGGATGACGTTTTATATATTTATCTATAAAATTCGTCATTATCACCTTCAAAGAGGTTTTATATATTATATATAATTTTCTAATTGTTTTAGGAACCAAAAGGAGATTAAGAAAATGGTCCGAGCTGTGAGAACTGTGTGGGAGTTACTTGTTTCACCTCGAGTTTTGTCTATGGAGTTTTAGATATTCATAGTAATCAATTAAATTGTTCAGATTATTCATACATTTTCTTACTAAATAAATCATTTAGTAACGCTATTTTTCAATTGTTGAAGCATGTGAGACACTTAGAATTCATGGTTGAATAGAAGTCATCTAAAATGAATTCACTCGGCTCAATTGCTGTTCATGATTTTGTTCTGATCGTTTGGATATAAGTTTATTGAAGCTAGTAATTCCTGACGATCATATTATAAACAATAGTAATTTTGCAGTTGTAGTGGCTAATCAAATGTGTTTGATTGAATACATTTTCTACGTGCAGAAATGACACGCCAGATTATTTTTCAATCGAACACTGAGATTGCTGTAACCAATAAAAACAAGAGACAGCACTGACGTTGTATAACTTTCCTTTAGAAATCTGACTCCAACTAAGAAAATCCAACTTTTCTTCAAATAGTTCGTGATTTTGAATCAATTTATTTCACAATTCCCAATAAGGCTATTCGGAAATAGCCTTTCAATATTAATAACTTCATGGCATGTTTTCGTACACTAAGCGTTTGCTCGTGAAGGGTAATCCTTTACATTGAAAAATCGTCATCACTTGTAACAATCAGAAGAATTTTTAAACTTATATCAGGTGCGCAATTTGAAGGCACGTTCAAATAAAATTTAAACATATCTATTTTATACACAGGAATTGAAATTTCTGACTTCGATCAAAGAAGTCAGAAGTTTGAAGAAGTCAGAACATCGAAGAAGTTCAATAACTTTGTTATTGAACAATAACTTTGTTCAATACTTTATTATTGAAATTTATTGTGACTATAATTAATTTAATCAAGTTTATCTAAGATAAATATTCCTTATATTCCACCTCAGTTATTTAAAGTCATATGACTCCATCTTGATAAATAAGATTTCTCTGGTCCTGATACCATAGGTAATATATTATTGCAAATAATATACCTATATAATTACTCGAATAACATCATACTATTTCCGCTGTCACACTTCAAATTCAAACATACTACAAACAAATTATATATTAAATTTATTAATTTTAAGCGTCCTTGGATACAAATGTTATGCGCTAAAATAATTTAATCTTTTTGAGAAGGGCACATTACCATTCAGATTGAAATAGAATTTTCAATTATTTAATGCCGAAACATAATATCACGGCCAGTGTCGTTGACACGCTTGATGTATGCCAAAGAATCCCATGCCTTGTTCATACCAATTGCTCGTTCAACCAACGAGTAGAATGTGAAAGATATAGGATATTTTCGTTTGAATACTTGCACAATTCTATGATAAGGTTTCAATTTGCTACGATGTCAGCGTGTTCAATTATTGAATACTTATGGTTTAACCCTACGGCAAGTTTTTTGTAACCTTGAATGGATATCACAATTAAGAGCCGCGAAAATGGAAAACGCATATACTGAATAAAATCGCTACCATCTAATATCTGTTGAAAATAACCTTATGGCTTTAACGATGTTCAAACATTATTTACTGTTAAATGAAGAGCGAGTAGAATTCTCCTCAAGGAAGGTCAGTGAAGAGTTTGACCTTCATGTACTGGATGGTAGATAGAGGCGAGCTGTAGTAAATACGGCTTCTCTCATCACTGGAATGGCGTGTGTAGTATCCGCTGTGCCCGCGCATGCGCAGTCGCTTTGTTTCGGTCACATGACAGAAAACCTTAGTGTGCGCCCAGCTGCGGATGTGAGTGGGTGTGTGTTGTTCTAAAAGCGCAGTGAAAGAAATCGTGCGCAGCGTCTTTAGGTACTCGGGATTGTGATTTATTTTTTAGGATACATTTTAAATTAAAGTGATGTGTTTCTGAAGATTCAACCCAACTGGCATTACATGATAGTATCAAATCCAAAAGTGTTTGTCCGTTAGCTAGAAATCACCTTCTGCTTCATCGTATCCCATCACCGCCGGACTTAGAGTGGTGAGCGTTTGTTCCTTGATCAAATACGCCCCTTTGTACCTTTATCCTTCCATTCAGTTTAAAGGCTGAAATAAATATTTTTTGCGTAAGTACTAGTTATTGTTGTCGCTTGACTGTTGATAATTTTTTAAAATGAAGTTTTTCTTGGCTCATCCGGTTGCCGAGTCAAGTGTTTGCTGATCCTTGTTTGTTCGT